GTGTCCGCCTTCCGTCTTGCGTAGAAATGATGGCGGCACGCCGAGGGAGGACCGTAGACTTTGGCCATGAGAGCCAGCGCATCCTTGAGCGTGGAGCGGTCCGACCTGCGTGCGGACGTGAAGGCCGCGAGCGCGTTGTCGTCCAGCATGGCAGGCAGTGCCCGCAGTGCCGTAGCGTCGGACCAGGCGGACATCTCTTGATGCGCCAAAAATCTGCGCTGAAATTGGCTCCAATCCCCGCCTTCCGCCTTGAATGCTGACAACGTGGGAAGGCGCTGCTGAAAGATAAGTCGTCCTCCTCTCGTGCTTCCTCTCTGCCCCCCCGTCGGTGTGTAAGAAGGGCGGCCCCAGTGGCGGGTGTGTGATGGCGGTCCGCCGCGCGCGTTGGTGACGTCAGCGGCCGCGCATGGAGAACCGCTGCCACGTGGTGATGGCCGTTCCCGCCAAAAGTTGGAGCGGATGAAATGGCGGGAATCGCCAAATCGTTTTGGCGGGAATCTGCAGGGGCGATCCTGTAGCACGTCGGCCGCCGTCCCCGCTCCTCCCGACGAGCTGATCTCCGCCAAGATGGACGCGGCGGCGAGCAGCAGCTCCGCCAGACGGGAGTGTGCCTCGCGAAGCACGGTGTCAGTCCCCCGTCGCTCGACCGGCGCCGTCGGTGGATCCTGCCCCGTGGGCAGCTCCTCTTCCTCACCCCCTGATGCCCGCTGGCCCGCGTCGTCGAGGTTGTCCTCGTGGTCAATCCGTGGGTCCGACGGTTCCTCCTTGTATCCATGCTTGGAGGACCGTTTCACTTCTGACGCCAGTTGAAGTATGGAATTGACGGCAGGAACTTCTTGACGGGTAACACACTTTTATTAAATCCTTTAGGTATCACAATACAACGTGTGGTCTCTCTTCTTCCTCCGACACACTCCACTAATCTCGTGTAAGCTCTAGGCCTCTGGCTACACCCGATACCTTGACTCGTGTAGACCCTATGCCTCTGGCTACACACAATATACTCGACTCGTGTAAGCCCTATGCCTCTGGCTACACAATACACTCGACTCGTGTAAGCCCTATGCCTCTGGCTACACAATCACTCGACTCGTGTAAGCCCTATGCCCTGGCTACACAATAGTACATTCGGCTCGTGTAGACCTATGGCTACACCCACTACACTCGCCTCTGGGTTACACAGAGTCCCGGTCCCCTTAGGACAGCGGGGCTAGGTACCGCAGGGCTCTAGGTCTTCAATCCCCGTCTTCCTTCTTCGCTGGTTACACACTGCCCTTACGCCTGTGTGCATCCCCTTTTATAGCCCCTGCTCACGAGGGACGGAGCTGATGCGGCGTCGACGTGAGCGTCGTTCCTTAATGACCCAATCACGACGCACTCTCTCTCAGCGCGTCACCGCCCACAGCCAATCGGTACCCCGTAACCCACGACCCCGCGCTGACCCCTGATCCTCCACCGTCAGCGCGCGTCACCACCTACACAGCCAATTCATCACGCACTGTGCATACGATCCTTATCCCAGCGCGTATCACCTCTACAGGTGTGTGTGTATGTGTGTGTATGTGTGGGGAGCGGTAGTGTAGCGGTTAGCGCGCTGCGCTATGAACCCGGCGACCGGGTTTCGATTCCCGCTCACGGCCAACACCGATTATCTGAACCGGTATCGGGCCTCCCCTAGGTCGACTCGGCCTCAAATGAGTACCTGGTGCGGTGTGTAAACATCAGCAATGGGGAGACAAAGGCGGCCGGGCGTGGTGTTGGCCCCACCCACCCTCTCGTGTGTCGTGCCGGCCGACATAGGTGCTCGCTAGGAGCCCTTGCCCCAAGTCTGTTACAGGCTACACGGGTGATCTTTGTCTTTGTTTGAACACCGTGGCGAGGTGGGCCCACGCCTGTAATCCAGCACTGTGGAGGCGGCGAGGGTTGGCGGATCACGCAAATGACAAACGTCGCGAAACTCCCTTCCCGTGGGCATCACCAGCACAAAGCAGCGGAGCAACGCATGGACTAATATCACCCGTCCCTTCTGTACGGGGATCGAGTGTTGCTCCCTCGCATCCGTGGGTTTTCTCCGGGCGCTCCTGTTCCTCCCACGTGTATAATAAACACTCGCCACTGATTGCACAAAACATCTTAGATTTAAAGTTTTCGTGACTGCAAAGATTCGTACTATTTGGTGAAAATGAAAATTCTGTTGTTTTTTCATTTATTTTATTTTTAACTACGTGACTTTACCGAAAAAACCAAAGAGTACAAAACATCTTACTATGTATGGAACTGCAGAGCGATCGTTGACACCGGCTCAGCGCCTTGCAGCCTTCCAGCTCGTGTCTGTGGGTCCTACTCAGCGATAGTGAGATGACATTTGCACAAAATACAACAACGCTATATATAAAACTAAGCATTCGATTTGTTGTATTTTCTTCTTTAGATTCGTCTTACTTTTTAGGAGCTTCTTCGAATGCGAATAAAAACGGTGGTAGGCGTGTGACGAAGCGTCGATTCAAAATCGATGATTACGCTCGCCATACCTGCATACATACACGCATATGAACATCAATAATTCACGGTATATATGTAAATTATATGCCAATTCTACGATCACGTTACGTGCGGCGAGTACTCCTGCTTCGAACAAAAGCGAGCGGAACACGCCGGTCCAGAGAGAGTCGCGGGGGGCCGATGAACGACAACAATGTTTGTTTCGCTTCTTTGGCATCGTCTGTTCATTTATTGATTCGATATACAATCTCTCAGACGCGCGCAAGGCCGGTGGTCTGAGAAGGGTCGTACCGGAGCCGGTCACCAGCCGCACGCGACCGAGTAACATTGGGGGGGGGGGGCGCTTGCGTTCGAGTCTCAACTCTGCCCGCTACGACCCACAGGGCCCCCCCCCCCTCCTTTCCGACGCGTGGCACCGCCAGTGAGTGGGTCATTGCAAGTCTGTCCGGTGATGGTGGTGGTGGGTGCTATGACTGCTTGCCATACTATAGGAGCATGTTACACGAAGCGAGGCGAGTCATGCTGGTTTCAAAGAAATCGAGTGGAACGCGTTCGCCCAAAAGACCAGTTGGGGCACCGCCGATTAGCGCGGTTGGCTACGTGCGGTGCGAAAGAAGTTCAACACGCATACACACGTGTACCGTAATCCCAATTGAGACATTTGCGATGGAATTTTCCACTTGTTTAGCAAGTGTGTACGTTGACGGCCGCATGGTCCAGATGACATCACGGGAAATGTATCGTCCACCTGTGAGCCGGACGTCGGGTGATTGTACGGTTACCCATAAATCGGCAAAGTATTAACCAGGGTGGCCCTGCTGGAGTGGTAACCGCGAAGCTCACGTGACGAGCTGCGAGCGCTGTGCCGACGCGTCACCTCCCCCCCCCCCGGCTTGCCTCGCGGGTACCGTGGGGAGTTTCCATCGCTGCTGGACCACCGCTGGGCCCAGGGGGAGATGCCTGTTTGAAAGAGGCAGCTTTAGAGGGATCGTCTTTGGGACTCGCTTTGTTTTTTTAATTTCAAGATGAAAAACGACCTCATAGCCCCCACCGCCGCCGCCACCTTGCACATTATTTCACGTCTTTAATGAAGGAGGAGGTGGTGGTGGTGCGCCTACGAGTCATCCGATACATCGCTTGGTAAGACTTGAGATGTCCTGCAACTTTAATGAGCGCTATATACCCTTACCTTACCGAGGCGATGTGCAGACTTTGTGTTCTTATAATGAGATTCGCGTGTCCATAATTCATGACGGGGGGGGGGGGGTCACTACGTCTCATTAAGCTCGGCACCGCGTGAAGACCACGCCAAGCACTCGCCTCTCGCCTGCCTCTCTCCTCCATCCCTCCCATCGCGTCCACCTCATCCGTTACCCCCCCCACCCCGTACCCCCAACTCGCCCTCTTGGATGTTTGGTAGGTTGTGTGGCTTCCAAAAATGAGCCAACTCTACGACCGAAATTTCCAAGGCGATCCGCATAGTAAGGCGCCCCGGTTTCAATATCAGAATGATGATTTATGCTGGAGGAATCCGATGAGCAATAAAGCTCTTTTTTCACAGTTGTCCAGTTGGCGAACGGGGTCAGGACGTTACAACAACAAACGCAATACACAATAGGAGTGCAATTTATATAAAAGGTAAATAAATCACTTCAAATATACAGACAGTACAAACAAAGTAAATTATTTTATTTCTCTTATCAGGTAAAGCCCCCTGAGCTATTCGTTGTACAAGGCTGGTTACACATAGACGCGCGTCTATCCGATTATCACACGAACACCCGCATTTTGCCTTTAAAGAAATAGGGGAAAGTGCGTTTTATAAATCGTATAACATGGTTATCGGTGCATGAGCTTCATCATCATGTCCTGTCATCAATTTCGCTTTCACCCAATTCCCGCATCGTCACAGATTCGCCCCCATCGCTTCCTCTCATTTATTTCATTCACCTTATTTCCACCATGACGTGCATATACGCTGCACCGTTCTTAGTTCTCTTAAAGCGCCCCGATTAAGGCGCTATGCCGATGACGTTAAGATGAGATAAGGTTTCAAAGTTATCTGTGTAACCGGGTGATAACCCAAGAGACCAGGATCGAGTCGAATTGAGTATTAGTCTCTTGCGCCCTTGATTCCACGCCACGCGATCCCATTTATGCGTCGACACTGCACCAATTTAATTGCTGCGCCGATTACCGCATTGTACGGATAATGAGGACATTGTCCGGATAGTGAGGACATTGTCCGGATAGTGAGGACATTATACGGATAATGAGGACGCTCCGGAAAGTAAGACGCACTTCAAACATTGTGCCCGGTGCCAATGAAGTTACACACGTGGTGCAAAGCGCGTCTTATAATCCGGCAAAACATCATTTCGAGGTCGTTACTCCCCTACCCGCGAACTGAGTAAGTGGGGGGGGGGAGGAGGGGGGGCTCCTAATGTGACGTAACACCACGCAGCCCCCCCCCCCCCCCACCTCTTCGTGTTTAAAAGCTCCGGCAGCCGCCGTGCCCAGTCCAAATTAAAAGTCTCCCCTCCCCTCTGTGCGGAGCTCACGAGCAGAGCCGTGCGCGCTCGTGTCGCTTCACGCACGCGCCGCGCGCGCGCCCTCGTGTGCGCACGTACTGATTGCAGAGGCGGTGAAGGACTCAAGGACGTCCTCGACTTGCGGCGATCGCAGCGGCTCAGCAGACGCGCGCGCGAGCTTCGCCAGCAAAGGACGTCAGCTGCCGGAGTGGAGATGAGCGACGTAAGGACATCACAGCCGTCGTCATCGTCAGCATCGTCAGCACCACCGCCAGCGCCACCGCCAGCGTCACCGCGACCGCCGCCGTCGCAATGCACCGACACTCGGCACCGATGTCATTTCACTGTCACACATTCTGAAACATCATCATCATCAGCTCCACTGTCATCAGTAGCACCGCACCTTTCTCGATGCTGTATCATCATCATCATCGTCATCCCCACATCAGCAGCACTCCACCTGTCTCAATTGTGTGTCATCGTGATCGCCAATGCCACCAGCAGCACAGCGCCTTTGTCAATGTTGTATCATCATCATCAGGCTGGGTGGGTAGTGGCGCCGCTGTACTTAGAGCTTCCACGCACAATTAGAAAGTTGAAATTTCGGTCGGGAGGAGTGAGGCTGAGCCTTTCCACAAAGTGGTACAAATAAGTAAGTACCACTTTGTGGCAAGTCAACATTCGCCATCCAAATAAGTAAGTACCACTTCGTGGAGAGAATGTACCGGCCACCACCATGAGAATGTGTCATTTACACCGCTGCATCAGGGCTGCCCCGTTGCCCGTATGAGCCGGGTGACGATTTGACTTAACTTGTATCAGCAGCAGCATCATTATCAGCCATCAGCAGCTTCAGCAAACGGCATCACGCGTGGAACTCCTCCACCGCAAATCGCTGCTAAGCGCTCATCGAGTAGAATCCTTGCGCCTGTCCTGGCATCATTGTACGATGTTTTTTTTTAAATCGCGGTTTGCCGAGCAGAGACACCAAAGGTTTCAACGCGCCAAATTGGCCAGAAACAAACAACACGATGACGGTTGTAATCGATAAGAGACAATACTCTTACTTGAATTGGGTAAGGTGTTTTATTATGGCAGCTTGGGGAGATGGAGGAGAGATGGTGGGAGAGAATTACAAATTGGAGCGAGGGGATAGCCCCCCCCCAAAAAAAATTCTGCAGGTCCGAGCCAGATGAGATTAGAATTATGTTTTATTTTTCAAGGGGAGGCCTGGGTTTGACGAGGGCCAACAGCAAATAACTGCAGGGTGCTTCAAAATTTTTTTGACACTTATATGGGACGGCTAACGGAAAAAGAACGGATAAAACACTGTAACATGACAACAAATGGATGTTAGTAGCTTCAAAAAGTCAGTTTCCACTTATTCGCCATCATTGTCAGCGCATGCCTGGAATCTTCACCAAGTGGTCTCCAGGCACATGTCTTGTGGTATTGCTGCACATTCTCAGAAGTGTTAACATTTTGTTGAAGCTCCCTGGATTGTGGCTCTCCCCCTCCCTTCCCGCCGCCACCATCACCTCTCTCTCCGTCTGAGTGAGTGTCTCTCTGCCTACTGAGACCCCTTCCTGCGCGTCACCTCTCCCACTCGCTGCAAAAAAAGCGAGAAACATGCGCGTTGGTTGTCCTCTGTCTTCCCCGGCGCGCCTCCACGGCTCGCCTTGCAGAAGGCGGATGGACGGATGGCCGAGAGGGGAGCGGGAGGAGGAGGAGGAGCGGCAGGTGAGTCGGCACGTGCCACGATCTCGACGAGTGGTGAACAATTCCACATGAACACAACTGACGTGCTTGCGTGCGGGGATGGAATTCCTTTCCAGCTCAGACCCCGCCTGCTTGCCCATCGCCACATAAATGTAACCTCTTGTTGTTGTGACAGCTCTCTCTCTGGTTCAGCAGTTCCACTGCTGGATGGATTCCACATTGTCATCATTATCTTATCTTGACGTCATTTGTATCGCGGCTTCATCGAAGCGCTTTGCAGAGAAGTAACAACGCTACAACAAGGCGCGTGTGTGTGTGTGTCTCATGGTGGTGAAACAGATGCGAGAAAGCAATGTGGGGGCGAGTCTGTGACAATGATGATGGTGGTGGTGGTGCGTCAATTCGGTGAAAGCGAAATTGATGACAGTAAATGATGACGAATGAATGGGGTCAATGAGTGATAGCCTTGTAATGAGACTATGAAGAGGGAACGGTAACGGAAGTGGTGGTTATGGGGGGGGGAGGGGGGGGGTTAAGGGGGTCGTGGTGTGAGCTAGGGGATAATAAATCAGTTTTAAGTGAGGAGCAGAAACTATGATGGGCACACTCGACCGCCGAGCCAACACGTGGGATGTGTTGGGAAGTGTCCAGGTTAGCAGGAGTGTATCTCAGCTGAATCGCTTGATGTGCCGAGAAGCGTGTGTTGTACGTGCATGTCTTTTGTTTTGTAGGGTGGTTAATCCACAATACAGGTTTTTTTTGGGGTTAGATCGCGTAAATATATAAATGTGTCCTTTATATTTTTACGCGATCTCATCCCATAAAAACCCGTATTATGGATGATATTGGTCGCGAACGTCTACTACGTGTTAAATTGAGGGTAGCTAATATGGGGTTTTAGCTGTCGTGAATAAGCGAATACAAAAAAAAGATATACCTCGAAAAGTATGATGATGAAGAAGGCTGCAAAGTTGGGCTCAGGATTAATATGGACAAAACTAATTCCACGTCCAAGAAAACTCAAAATAACCACGAATGTCGTTGTGAAGGATACAAAACCAACAAGTAGACAATGTCGCCTTCACATCTCCGTCTATTCACGCAAAAAAATGTCATTCATTCGTTTCGTGTCCATCGACCCAACTCAGTCCGATCGACCCAACTCAAGGGCATAAGAGCAAGCCCCCTCTATGTGCCTGTGGGGTGAAGTAAACCATGAATCACATCCAGAAGTCTGCCCAATCCAACGTCCGTTGTTCGTATTCAGTCGTCCGCTGTTCGTGTTCCGACATCTGTTGTTCGTCGTCCGCTGTGCGTGGCGGAGGGACACGGCAGGAGCAAACGGCAGAGTGTGCTCCTGCGCTGCACCTCGTGCGGCTATTGAAGGCGAGTCGGAATCCAAGGATGAAATGGTAGAGGCGGAAGAGGAGCAGGCGCATTGGAGAGCTCTTGCAAACCTGAACTCGACATCGAAATCCAACCGAGCAATCTGACGGAAGAAACCCGTTCTAAAAGACAGGCCAGTGTTTTGTTTTTGCCTCCCGTTATACGTGGGTCAAACTCAGACCTTAACGAAGAAAACTTGAACAAAAACTGCAAAAGTGTGCAAAGAAGCACGGGGAGTTACTGAGAGCCAGAGGAGAGGAACACGTGGACGTGGGAACATACCCAGGGTTAAAGTCATTCACACGGTGAATGAAGGTAAGTGGGCTTGGGCAGGACACGTCATGGCTAGATGTGACGATGGTTCCATGGTGCGGAATGATTACGGCGTGGCACCCAAAGAATGGAACGATTTGATAAATACGCTACGATTGTGTTGATAGTGGTGGTGGTATTGGTGGTGGTGGCAGTGTCGGTGTTTGCGGTGGTGGTGGTGTTCATGTTGGCGGAGGTTGGTATTTATCTCAGTAGTAGTGGTGGTCGTGGTGATGGTGATGTATGTACTGTTTGATGAACCTTTTTCGCACCGTACGTAGCCAACCGTGATAACCGGAGGTGAGTAATGATGATCGCTCACTGACGCTGGCGATGGTGGCAGTGCCAGTGGCGGTGTTGGTGGTGGTGCTGGTGGCGTTCACGTAGTTTGTATTTATCTCAGTAGTGGTGGTGGGTGGTGGTGATGGCTCGCTGACACTGGCGCTGCTGCTGCTGCTGCCGTGTGTTGTGGTGGAGGAGGAGGAGGAGGAGCCAAGCGCGAGTCGACTGAGGAGGTGGACATCGACCTCAAGGCGCCCGAGACGGAGCGCGCCGCCGTGGCCATCCAGAGCCAATTCCGCAAGTTCCAGAAGAAGAAGGACGACAAGAAGGAGTGACGAGGACGACGACGACGAGGACGACGAGCAAGGCCGACGACGATGCGACTCAGGGACGACGCCCGAAGGAGGAGACGTGGGGGGGGGGCTCCAGGCACACCGTAAGAGGCCACGACCGCGCCTTGTCCACACCTGGGTGGTGGGGGAGGGGGGCTTTTTATTAGTGGGATTAAAGTTCACCGTGTGGTCACCTGTGGGGAGATGATACGAGGTCATATATATAGAAATAACAAAGAACTAACTACTATTCTATTATTTAACTGAAGAAAAAAAATCGATTACAATTTTTATCCAAAAAGTGCTTTAATGAAACCAGCGTGGGTCCTGTGATGAATAATATTGTAATACTAATAATTGTTATTTCGTATTGTAACGCGCCGCGTAGTATTCACCCACTCTCGTAGAGAGAGAGAGAGGACGACTCGGAGGCTCCAGGAGGAGGAACCACAGCCGACGAGCGGGAAGGCAGCAGCAGCCACGCATTGAGCCGGCGCTACCTACAATTAGCTAAGCTCTGCGGTCCTTTACATATAATCGCCCAATCGATGAGCATTTACGTGTGGGAAGAAACCGGAGTACCCGGAGAAAACACATTCGTGCGAGAGGGAAACACTCTATCCCATACAATCGGAACAGGCGGAGTCCACATTTGTGTTGCAGCGTCTTCCCCTGGCGAAGTCAGGGTACGGAGGCTCCTCGACCCGCACGGGACGGGAGTTTCGCAACATCCGTGTGCGGTGATCCACCAAGCCCTCGCTACCTTCGCCGGCGCTAGATTCCAGGCGGCCACGTGCATACCCACCATCGTAGTGCACGTTGCCAGGTGTTTGTACAACACCACCTCCATTCAGTGGCGACGCATTTCAAGGACGACTTTAAGGGGTGATGACGAATCTCGGCAGATTGTAAAAGGCGTGGCGATGAGACTCGGGGGAGGGGGACGATTGGATTAAGCGTGCGCCCCCCTCCCACAACACCCCCCTATCCAAAACCCATTTCGTCTCACCTGCAAAAAAGAAAAATCATCCTTCAGTCTGTGATGGTTGTTGTTGTTGTTGTTTTTGAAAACGGAGGAGTACACGCGTGCTGCGCCAGTTGAGAAGACGCAATAAGGTTCGCCACGACGCATCGAGTCGTCGATTGTAATAATCGATTCTTACGATCAGAAACAGATGCATGCATCGCGTTCTCCCTTGTGGCAATCGATTATTGAGCCGTGTGCGCAAAGGAGACGATGGGGAGAAGTTAAGCAAATGGGCCCCATGTACAGGTGGTCCAGATGTCTCGTGACCCCCAAATTAATTCACCCCTCACATTGTTTTGGTTCCTTTGCATGTTAATTTCTGCTTTAAATAAACTTTAAAAAAATATTAAGTTTTAGAGAATTAAATAGAGGTCACAAGACATTTGGACCACCCTGTAACTTTATCGTGACAATTCACGAATCGCTGGCAGCGACACGCGGGGCGGTGACGCGGACCCAGCGGCCGCGCATTTCGCCGCTCGTTGCAGAAGTTATTTTTGCGGTTCGAATCCAGTGGCCGCCCTGGTTATTACCACGGGTGAAATAATACTAACGACACTGCACCGTCTGCTTCACAGTGAATGTTAAAGATCCATCCGTCGTCTTTGTCAAGAGTTAGGGCCAGAGACCAAATGTCAAATCAACCCGCAACTTACTCAATTGCGATCACGCAGAGCACCCCCTATTAGCACGGTTTGGCTACATACGGTGCAAAAGAAGTTCAACATATATAAATACGTAGCAACCATCTCCCCTCTTGCTGGCAGATAAGGCTCGATTGCAGCAGGTCAGGTGCAGAGTCGCAATGTGGCCGCACAGGGACAGCTGCCGCTGGGGGTGTCATTTGAAGCGTGTTGAGGTGAGATGCGATGATTTCTGTTAAGCGCTTCGGCGAATTGGAAGGGCGCTCTGTAAAGCCGAGACAATAATCAGCGTGACTCACTCTCTGCGCGGTCATTTGCTAACGGCTCTGGCCGAACCACCTGGGTTGATGATCTTTAAACGTGCGACTCGGCCGGAATGGCAAATAAGCTGCGTTGGGCTTTGCCGGTGACGATGCACATCGGGTGCAATGATGAATGAAGTATTTGCCTCTCGGGGTCGCGAGATCCGGTTCAAGATTCCTTCCTCTGACATGGCAGTGGATGTGGCGGCCTCGTAGCGGCTGCATGTGACACGCGAACCACTTGTGTTGAATTCAGTGACGACTTTTTCGGTCTCGAGCCACCGGTCACCATGGCATCAGCACATCGATCCGAACGGGATCAGCACATTGGCACGGTATAACTAGTATCCGGATTTCTCCAGGATAAACAAATATTTTCTAATTCTGATCCTCGTACACGCGACAATCTCGTCGGGTGGTGGAGGGGTTCACGACAAGGATTTTAGCATTAAGCTAGCACCACGTGGCCTAGCACAAAAACAAATACGGATCATTACAAACAACCTCGAGCTGGAATACGCTACACATTCGTCAATAATACTGTGGCCTCAAATAAATAAAGTACATAATAGGCGACGTTTCGGGCAATGCCCCTTCTTCACAACAATACGAGTGGATGAAAGTTGGCGACAGCACTTTGTTTCCCACGGGGCCGGATTAGAATTTGAAGGCACGATCTAATTGACGGATGTGATGAGCTTGTGTGTGTGTGTGTTTTAGTGAGTGAATTGTCATTGCGCACCCACTACCAACGAAGCAGCAGCAGCAGCATCACCGACTAATTTTGCTGACCCCTTGACCTGCAAATCGTCGAATCCGAGGTGGATCTCGATGCGTGTTATCGTCACCCACTAAATGACGGCGCGGTTACTCGGGGGGAGCTGTGAGCCGGAGAGAAATGCGATGCAATAACTGGGACGGGATGACGACAGCAAGGCACGAGAGCGAAGAGGCACGGGGACCGGACACTGGGAAGAGGAGAGGAGGAGGATGACGATGGTGATGCGAGAAGAGCGTGGAGTGACGTCACATAACACAGGAGCCACGTGACTGAAACCACGCGGAGGACACTCGGTGCTGGGGGAAATGGCAACACTTTGGTGTTGAGAATTCGGGGTTTTCTTGGGAGACGCGCGCACTCGGCTCTTGAAGGGGTCCAACCAAAGCTCCCCTCCTCTCCCCCTTGTGTCCACGCCGCTCTGCTGCTATAACCTGCGGAATAAAAGCTGCTCAGTCGACTCAGTTCCCCATCGAGTTGAAGAGAACAATTGATGCATGTATTCGCTCCTACGTTTGATGTCCGTATTAATCAGTTAATCGCGACGCTTATCAGGCGCGCAATGTTGCATCTATGGGGCCGTCCATAATTGACGTCACGCGATTTTGGACGATTTTTGACCCCCCCAACTCGTCACACGGCGTCACATAAAGTCAGACCCCCCCCCCTCAAATATGACGTCACAAAGCTCTGCCCCCCCCCCAAAAAAAAACCATGTTTCCATTTCGAAAATAAAACATGCTTCAAATCGCTTTAAACTTTCGTCATTGTAGTGCGTATTTAATGTTGCGCTGCACTCTGATGTTGTAGGAGAAAACACGCATTAAAAAGGAGGCGTTGGAAAGCTTAAATGTAGCATAAAATTCACTTGAAAATATTCAACGTCTAAAACTGCAGATGTTCAGAATATTATATTGAAATTATCTTATAATTATAAAACATTTAAAGCAATTATAACTTGAAACTTCGTAGTAAAACGAAGCAAAATTGAGAGTACAATTATCACAATCATAATCAAAATGTTTAATTACAATCATAAAAAAATGTAAAATGTATGCTTCTCCATTCTCCCATGGAGAAGCAAAATACTCCTTCATGGAATAAATAAAAGGTGACCTTAGTAAATTTAAATAAGCAAATAATTAATAATGATAATTAATCAAAATGTGTTGTTAAAACAATTCTATATTTATTTAAAGTTGCGCATTTTGATGTGACGTCACATCGTCACAAATGTCTGACCCCCCCCCCCCTAGGTGCGTGACGTCATTTATGGACGGCCCCTATTCACTCTTTAATATTCGAGGTGACAATGACCTTCCAATTACCTTTTCCGAAAGCGCCAATTGGTCGTCTCTATGACGAGACGAACGTCTGTCCATTGAGCAGAAAGTGGAGCGCGAGTCTTGGAAAAGATGCAAGAGTCCGGTGTTGGGGACGGGAATAAGAGCGGACAATGAAGAGCCTCGCAAACGCAGTCGGGGACGCTCACAGTGGGAGGGCAATCGGTGGCATGGAGAGTGTGCGTGGGATCGACTCGTGTGCATCTTGGTCGGATAAATTGATGTAGTTGCAAATGGCCGTTGAGGATGGGGCATTCGGTGCATTTCCCTTCCTCAGGAGCTGGTCGACAGTAGAGAATAAGGTCATGGGGTTGTTGATAGCGCGAGGTGACCGGTTACAGTAGGTGGATTTAGCCTATTTAACATAACTCTGATAGATCTGAAGTTGGTCCTTATAATCATGCTAATCTCTCACATTAACATCACTAGCCCCGGCCACTTCTTTGTAACCCTTGGGATACACCCATTTCAAACCTTTAAAAACAGTCTGCCTCAGCAGGAGAACGTGCTTTCCCACCTGATGACGGACGCTTGTGTTGCGCCCGAAACGTCGTGATATATTTTATACCTACGTGACTTTACCGAAAGAACCAAAGAGTTTGGTCCTCATAGATTGGGGAGTGCACTTCACGGTTGGACTTCCTGTTAGCCTTCGGAGGTGGGATTTATTTTCCCTACGTAGTTCAGAGTCCCAAGCGGAGGGGGCAGTACATCGGTGACTGTGCGTGTTCTTGGTGGAGCCACTCGGGCGAGCGTGTTGCGTAAAATTGTACAATCTGGCAGGCTCATTGACGGGGAGGTCCAGCTCCTGAGCAAGAGAGAGAGCTGGACAAGACATTGTTGAACACGGCAGGGGGAAATGAGACTTGAGATGACGGAATGAGTAACTCTGCTTTAGAGGAGGAGGAGGACCAGGGGGGGCAGGGTAGAGCCAGAGATGTAAAAGAATGACACAAACTATGGCACAATTTTCCAAATGAAATGATTACAACCACGAAAACCGTTGCTCTAAAATCGTACATTTATTGATACAAAAAGGTATGTCGTTTAAAAGATTCGTGATTTGCAACTGCGCTTGTACACCAATCGGCATCACGACATAAACTGTAAAACCCATCTCGTGGTCCCGCTGCATAGCGGCACATGGCGACGCCACCGACGCAAAACGTTCATAGCGCAACCGTCGAAAATTTCGTAATTTCCAGCTCCCACGTTGTTCCCACCGTGCGGCAAAAAGAGCAGCGTGAAAGAAAAGCCGACTGACTGACGGGCCCCCACACGAAGCCACAATAACCTTGCGTGGCAACGACACGGCCTTCGCCAGACCTGCCCAAAGACCCCCCCCCCCCCGTAAAGCCTTTTAACAGACAATTTGGGGCAAGTTCTGTGAGCGAGCACCTATGAAGGTCGGCATAGCACACGAGGGGGTTGCCAACACCATGCTCGGCAGCCTTTGCCTCGCCAGTGCCGATGCTTACACACGGGACCAGGTATGCATTCATGTCCGAGTCGAGCTAAGGGAGGCACAGCTCCGATTGATATTCACCCCACTGATATAGGTCGTGAGTGGGAATCCAACTCGGCTCAATGGGTTCGCAATGCAGCGGACTAATTACTACACTGCCGCTCCGCATTCAAGCCCAAACAAACACCGACACCTTCAACAAGCAAATTTATAGAAAATTTTGAACATTTACAAGTATGCCATGAATAAAAAAAAACAGGTTTAGGATGAATTCAGTGTAAAACAATTTGTTTAATAATGCACTATTCACGAGATGGGTAACTTTTGGGAGGGTTAACGCACGAACACACGGACATACAAATGCATGGACTCCCACGCAAGCGAACGCGGGACAACGCAAAACACGCAAATGAAATTACACTGCACGTTCACACGCGAACGCGCCCGAGAAAAACGTCGAACTCTCGATTACTTTTCACCAAAAACCCGGATTAAAACGCACAATTAAAAACCAAAGTGAGACAATGTGCCGCCCGTTGCAGAGCGGCAGTGGAACCTTTGGCACCAAGCGAACCGCCAATGATCCCGACAGCATTGAGACTTTGTTCACCAATGCTCCTCTTCGTCAGGATTGAGTCTAATTTTTTTTCAGTCCAAAGCAAGGCGAAAAATGCACTGTATTTTAGTCATCAAAACTAGTTTCTACAAGAGTCTGGTGACGTACGTCTCGTCAGGGAGATCGGCATACAAGGCATTTGTTTTAAAATGGAATTGTGGGTAGCGATCAATTTCTTGGGGTCTTTGCCACGAAATCGTCTTGCTGCAGATGTAACTGATGCAGCAGAAGGCAACGGCGATTGTGGGTGGCTCCAGGCATTAAACGGTCCACATTGCGCAAATTGGTTTGAACATGCCTACCATCATACAAACCACCATAATAGTGCACAGCACTTTTATAAAGACATTATATAAAAGCTCCGTAAGATAATTTGGCACCACGTAGAAGCACATATTGGCCATCTTAAAGGTGTCACCTGCATACCGTTGTGAAATTTATGGCTGACATTTCTATGCTTGTTTACCCAGGAAAGCCACGAGTCTCACGAAAATTGTTCAGACAGATCTTGCCGTGTTTTCTTGTCGGGTTGACACTTGATACGCTGGCCATCGAACAAACACGGTCACTGCATCACGCGTTTTCAGATGTGCTTCTGCGGCCGTCTGAAACGCTCTTCCCTCCGATATTAGGAAGCCAGTGGAGCTGTCGAACTTTGAAATCTCGGTTGAAAACTCATTTCTTTAGAATGCTTTTTTGCGTTAAGTTCATCATCCTTCCCCACTCCTACGATTAGCACGGTTGGCTACGTACGGTGCGGTCTAAGTGCAACGTACACAATCAAATTTTTAGTAAATAAATTAATGCAACGCTTCGTCTTGGATCTAAGCAAGTCATTGCACGGGCTTGTCCTATGCCATGCAGATTACATCTCGCGTATCGTTTGTTTGTCCGCGTGGCATGTACTGTTCACGAAGCATTCGACTAACCGCATAATCAAATCCTGGCAGGGGGGTCAATGTAACCAATTATCCTGCGAGGGTGTATAAATGAGTACCACTTCCACGAGGAGAAACTGGTCGCCACCCTCGCGATGTCGAGTTTCCACCACCACTTGTTGCGGGTCACAGAGGGTGTCATTATGAGCAGAGAGGAGACACCGGGTTCACGTTTGGCTTTATTGTTGCTCGTTTGGCTGTCGACTTGACGTGACGGGGCGTAATAGGTGACTAAACACCTTCACCTCTTGTACCCTGACAGAACTGCTACTGCTACGTGCACAATTGGTGATATTCGGAGCTGGCTCAGACAAGGCAATTCCCTTAAATGTCATAAAAAGTCCTCCTTACAAATACCCAGGCAAATCAAGAGCACTAGAGGCCCCACTGTACTCCCAACTATGTTTCCCATTACACCCATCCATAATTACAGCACACATTTACTCTTAAACAAACATTATGAAAAAAACGTGTTTTTTCTATATATAAAAGTGTGTGTTTGTGTACACACAGCAAGCTTTGCTGTGCACAAGGCCAAGCAACAGGTACCACTGTGTGAAGCTATGTGTGTGTGTGTGTACCAGACTGGTATGTTTTGGTCGACTCAGCCTCATATGAGTACCTGGTGCGGTGTGTAAACATCGCTACCGGGGCAGGCAAAGGAGATCGGGGGGCGTGGTGCTGGCCACCCACCCCCATGCGTACCGTTCAGGCATTCATTCAGGGCTGTTTCGCAGACAGCACTCGCCCCAACGGTGAGTTAAGGCTATATGGGAGCGGGGGGGGGGGGGGGATCTGTTGCCTTCGTACGTTTTTGGTGAGAGTCTATATCGACACACCGTTGTGTGTTGCAAAGGAGCAAATCCTCAGGAGCTGGCGGCAGATGCAATGTGGCATGAGGGGTGCTCATGGACGTGCCGCGTTGGGCGTGCATTCTTGTGTATACCGACTTGGCGCGTACGCCGCAGCGCTAGGGTGCTGATGTATTCGTCAGTGGAGGCCGGGGGTCGAGTGGTTTTATACACGTAAACTCTCCCGGCTCAAGATGTTATTCTGAAAGACAACGAAGGAGCCATGGTTATATAAAATAAACCTCATTAAAGTCACACACGTTACATCAAATGTTAATTCGTAATAATTATGGCTGTGGTGCAAAAATGAGGTGGAGTGGCTGATAGCACACCCAGCCAGCAGCCTTTGTTAATCTAGCGCAGTTGACTTTAACCCTTAGAACCTTTGAAAAGCCCCAGTGCGATCCAGATACAATGTGCCACATTGATACACACCTTTTAAACATTACTGGCAGTTTACACGTAACTATACATTGGTTATAGCCAGGCATATAACTGACAAAATACAAAACCAACCATCGAAAGTGCATGCAAACTTCATACTCAAAGACACACACACTTTGACAAAGACACACAACAATATCACGAAGTCATCTCAAAATCCACATACACTCAAGACTCGTATACACTTAACATAAATATGCAAACAAACAAAGGCACCTGCAAGCTCCCTGAACCAGCCATCCACATATACAAAAGTACTCACAGACCACTCGCAAAAATGTCATACTCGACGAAGCACACACACACTCGCACACTAGCATACTAGCATACTCATGCCAGCATACGTACACACACACGTACACAAACGCTGACACGCACCAAGCGAAACAAACTCGCACACAAACTCACTGGAACCCAAGTCTCGAACCAGACGCTCACCTTCTTGCGTTTGTTGTCGGAATCCTTGTCTCGGTTGATGTTCTTCCCGTAGGCAGCGCTAAGGCCGCTGCCAGCCTCATCGGAGCGGTAGCTGGGAGGGCCGGCTCCTCCCCCACTACTGCTGCCACCGCCACCACTTCCACGCACGTCGGGCGCCGCCAGGTCCTCGCGGCTCCGAGACCGCTTCTGTCGCCACGCACAAACACACGGGCACACTCCAATATTCGCACAAAGGCAAAGGTCCCCCATGTGGCAGGGCGAGTGCTGTTAACGAGCACCTATGAAGGCCGGCACGGCACATGAGGGGGTGGGTGGCCAACACGACGCCCGGCCGCCTTTGTCTCCCCAGTCGTGATGTTTTACACACCACACCAGGTACTCATTTGAGGCCCCGTATAACCTTAACAGACTATTGGAACGAGTTCTGTTGGCGAGCACCTAGGAAGGCCAGAACGACTTACGAAGGGGTGGCTGGCCAGCACCACCCACGGCCCCCTTTGTCTCCCCAGTGGTGATGTTTACACATCGCACCAGGTATTAATTTTTGGCTGAGTCGACCTATGGGAGACCCAGGACCGGTTCATATAATCGTCACTAGTGTTGACCAGGAGTGGCCGGGTTCATAGTGCGGTGCGCAAACAGTTGTACTACCGCTCCCCACACACACAAAGATAAAGATCCCCCGTATAGCCTCAACAAACTGTAGGGGCAAGTGCTGTTAGCTAGCACCTATGAAGGCCGGAACGGTACACGAGGGGGTGGGTGGCCAGCACCACGCCCGACCGTCTTTGTCTCCCCAGTGGCGATGTTTACACACTGCACCAGGTACTCATTTCAGGCTGAGTCGACCTAGGGGAGGCCCAGGACCGGTTCAGATAATCATCACTGGTGTTGGTCGTGAGCGGGAATCGAACCGGGTCGCCAGGTTCATAGCGCAGCGCGCTAACCGCTACACTACCGCTCCCCACACACACACACTCACCTATGCACACACACCTATACAGAAACACTCATAAGCAGATAACTTACAAACAAGAGCAAATATTAACCATGAAGTAAGGTAGCTCCATGGAATTGGTGCCCAGCTAAATATACTTTTCAGCCATATTGAGCGGTTAAAATAGCTACTTACGAGAATCAGGTGCTATGGGTTTAATATAATCTCGGCTGACAGAGGCTTGAGAAGAGTTGATGTGGCCATCCAAAACAGCAGCAGTGAAACAAAGACAACTGTCGACCGGCTTCATCATTTCCCCCACTTTATGCGGTAGATGCGTTCCAAAAAAATTGGCGAAGAAAGTGAAACTCTACACAGTACATAAGCAATGTTGTCCCACATCCGACCGCATAGCCGCATCGAAATACGTTAGCCGCAAATAAGCGAAATCGCACGATCCAAACCCATATAGAGAGCGAGGGAAACCTGAAGAGCCATCAATGTTCACCGCTGCCTTCAAGCCTGTTGGGGATGGCCACATCTTGCAACCCACCTCGAGTTGCAATCTCCTACTATTTGTGAGCAGCACAATGTTGTGCGCAGCTAAACACGGCCACACAGTCACACCCGGCATCTCACCTCTCCGAGGGCAGAGTTCAGGATGCGGTCGTCATAGCGACCCTCGGAAGGCACATCCGAGTACTTGGGGGGGGGCGGCATAACAGCCTCGCGCAATCCCCGCTCGTCGCGGAGGTCATCACCGCGGTAACCGTCGTCCCGCCGCTCATTGTTGTAGTTATTGGCACGTGAGTTGTTCGAGCGGGGGTAGGAGTCCCCTCGGGGGTCCCCACGGGGGAACGAGTCTCCACGTGGGTCCCCTCGGGGGTCCCCTCGGGGGTCTCCACGGGGGTCCCCTCGGGGGTCTCCACGGGGGTCCCCACGGGGGTCTCCTCGGGGGTCCCCACGTGGATACGAGTCTCCTCGGGGGTCCCTCCGGGGGTTTGGGTCTCCACGGGGGTCCCAGTCCGTGTTCCTCAAGTCGTCGCGGCTACGGCTCTTATGCTTGCCCTGGGGTGGGGTCAGGGATCACAGTCATCTGGACTGAAGCGGACAAGCAGCCAGCACCTTCAACAGGGCTCTCTCGCGCTCTCGCTCTCTCACACGTCATGCTCTCTGCTTAATCATCGGATTCCTCTGGTCTAAATACAGATTCTGATTCCGATCTGCAATACTGTGCCTGTCTCTTGGTGCAATGATGACGATGATGATACTCATGTCCTGCATTTATCTATGAAACGCTCATCCAGTCCGAATATTATTTTTTGCGGTTCGGTGCTGCATACGTAAAGTTAGTAAATGTACTATGTGTGGAGTAGTTTGACATGTGGGAGGAAGTCAAGGTGCCTGGAGAAAACCCTCACTTATGAGGAGAAACCCTCTAAAGTATAAATTATTTATGTATATCTACATTTTCAAAGGACAACCCAGTGGATTTCAGAATTTCACATTTCTCCATGATCCACCCCAACCCTGACCTCCAAAACGCTATATTACTCCTGTGTGCCAACATCATGAAATCTGATTTAACTCCGATGGTTGTATAATGCAACAAATGTGTACATTATTTAGCTAATCAACCCAATCACAATGTACATGTTTGTAAACCTTTAAGACAAATAAAACAATATTCTAAAACGTAACCATCAACGCCTCGCGTGGGTGGTGGGCATCATCACTGGCGTGACCAACGTAGCGAGACGCGTGCATTATTATCTACCGTGATGTTTGTGGCTTACCATGAAGACCTACGAAGGGTACGATAATGTTTATACACGAGTGTGTGCATGTACGCGAGCCTCACCTGGTAGTAGTAGTAGTCATCCCGGCGCTCTGGAGAGTAATCGCGAGGCCTGTGGGATCGTGCATTCGTGTCAATGGATTATCGTTCCTCCTTTATCAACGCGGTTTAAACTAAGAACACTCGGTGTGGTCGGGGGTTTCAAAGGGTGAACGGGAGGGTGCGACACCGGCAGAGAGGTTCTACAAAAAGTCCACGGGTTTTTTTAATAGCCATGATAGAGCAAAGCTTCTCAAATCAGCGGGGCCTAATAAGCACATAGGATCGCAAAACGTAGGTTTTTGTGGCCAATACAGTGATCCACGTTTGCTTTTGGGTTAGGCCATGTGGTAGGTAGTGAGTCCGAATTCTGAGCACAATACCCAACGAAGCGCAAAGCAGTTTGAGCGAAACGTCGTCGTGTGTTGAATTCAGTCACAAAAGGTCTGAGGCCACCCGGTCAGAATTTGGTCAATACATTGGCACGTATGAATATTTTTGTAAGCGTGACGATCTTGTTGGGTGGTAACAGGGTTGGTGACGAAAATTTTGGCATAAAATGTGACCTCACCCAAAAATAAATACGGATCAAGATCTACCCACGCTGACAATTGCAAGGACATGCACGTACTGGACTGAAACTTTGGCTAGCCGGATTAATAGGGAGGCAGCCCTGGTCTGAGTAGCTGAAGAGTGCAGCTAGCTGCAAAACTTATGAAAATCAATGTAACAAGTCACAAAATACCAAGCAAATTCAAGCAAGTATTAATACACATCTTAAAATATATTTAACATTACACTTATTCTACCCTTAACGTAATAATAAAATACACATGAAAAACATGACCGTTTTATAATAAGTATATTGTATATTGCGCTGTACACAGTAGTTTTTGTGTACTCACCATTGAGATAAGTCGATCCCCGCGAGAAGTAAAAAAAGCAAAGCAGTAAACACCAAAAACGGAGGAAGAAAAGCATAACACAGACGAGGACAGAGGAACACCGCAAGAGCTACAAATGGACGAACAGAGCAAGAGAGAGAGAGAGAAACAGGGGAACTGAGAAGCAAGAGACAGGGCTATGGTGTATGGAGCTACAGGACACGGATACACCTACTGGGCGCGTGCGTGCACAGCATCTCAAGGTGGCGTAAGATCTTTCACTTAATTATTTTATGACTCAGCTGCCACTTTATACGAACTCCAGCAAACCAGCGTTTGCCAGTATTAACACAAACAAGATCTCACCATGGAAATTGCAACGATGAGCATGTACAGCTGGCACGTTCACGTGCGTGACCAACATCGATGTTTCATGCTCGCACTCGCTCATAAGTGTGCTCAGACTCGCAAGCTTCAGTGCTCTCACCACCCCTCCCACGTAGGTTCCCATTCACCTCCAAAAAGGACCCGGGTACTATCATCGACAAAGATCTCCCTTACAGCCCTTCACCGACTGTTGGGACAATTGCTATTAGCTCGCAGCACCTATGAAGGTCGGCACGGTACACTAACGAGGGGCTGGATGGCCAGCACCAAAAACAAAGATCTCCCGTATAGCCTCAAAAGATTATTGGGGCAAGTGCCGTTAGCGAGCACCACTCGCACATTTGCTTGTATTGAAACACGCTACACATGGGCACAAGCGTACAGACGAGGGTTATAATGACACCCGCACTCCCACATTCACACCTGACAGGTCGAGGGCACGCACGCACACGGCGCACTCTTAGGTTCACACTCGTGCACTAGCTGGCTTAGCTCTCTCTCTCTCTCCAATGGTAGCACTAAGCGCTCACTCAATCACACGCACACACTCTCACTCGTCTCACCTGTGAGCTGGCCCTGCGAAGCCCACATCGTCGAGGTCGTCCACCGAGTGAGCTCGCCGGCGGGCCTCGCCATCGCCTTGCAACAAAAACCACAGTCAACCACCGCAGCTGCCATGCACGCACCTCGCCACAACGACCACAACCTCCACCATTGCCACGTCAGCCATGGCACTAGAGCTGCGACAACAAGTCCATTAAGTTCATTAATCCCGTTACAAATTATGACTTTTGCTGTTTTTGATGACTCGAGCCCATCTTAACTGTAAATTCACTTACACTACTCTGTTCACAAAGATTTTATTAGGAGGGATTAAATATTATTGTTTGCCCACCCATTCTGCCAAGTGTCATCTTTGCACCAGTCATATTTCCTCCACTATTAAACGTGTCACCACTACACCAATAGCACATTATTTAAATCGCTATTGTTACATCAATACAATCTTAAAAGTCTCTCGTTGTTGCAAAGAATGACAGTGAGTGATCAGATCAGGGCCTGGGGGGCATGGCAAAGGTTGGGCCACAGCATAAGTAAAAGATATTGACTTATCAGTGCAGACAGCAAGTAACTTGATACTTTTAAAATACACGCGAAACGCCACACTGTCATGTCATCGTCTCTAAGACCCAACGTGGCATCGATATTGTGTCTCGCTGCATTCGTGTCCTGTTGTATTCGTGTCCCGTTGTTGTGTTGTGTGTCATGCGCGTACGGGGACCGGGGCCGCCACGGTGCGACGAAGGGGCAGACGAATCGATGTCGCGCACGGGAGACAGCGCTCGCTCCCTCGCCCGTCGCAGCGCATCCCGCAGGTCGCCGCGATCGTCATCGTGCAGCGACGACAGCTCCGTCATCCCAGCCACTGTCACAGCAAGATCAGCAGCAGCAGCAGCACAAGTTAATAACACTTCAAACACACCACACATTATGCCGTATTAAAGCAAGACAAAACTACAAACTTTACAATACCCTGCTGATCTCATCAAAGAACATAAACCATCAGGCGAACTCCGGTCATCCTCGCAGCGGCTTTTGGCTAGCCATCGAACAAAGACGCTCACTGCATCGCGCGCTTTCTGATGCGCTTCTGCAGTCGTCTGGAATGCTCTTCCTTCCGATATTAGGAAGCAACTGGAGCTATGCACTTTTAAATATAGATTGAAAACTCATTTCTGGACAACTGATTTTTATGTTTAGTTTGTTGTACTTGACCCGCACCTCTTGACTAGCAGTTGGCTACATACGGTGCGAAAAAACTTCAACATACATGCAACACCAATCGTGGCTCAAAAGTCAATTTACTGTAAATACAATTTATTATTTAAATCATTCACGTCACCGTTGCTTTTGCTCCGATTTACATTTGCTTCATTGCTTTAGTTTATTTTTACTTGTTTTGTTTTTTTCATTTTGGTAAGCCAGGTCACTCTTCCAAATGAGACTATTCTGGTATTTTGAGTTCCCATATAGCAACTCAATCTTGACTGAACAAAATGAGTGAATTGGCGCTCCAAAACAGCACATCACAACACTACACACGGCGTCACACACCGCGAAGAGAAATCACCAAAATGACAGCAATGAAGCGAAGAGAAATCAGAGTGAAAACTGTGTCACAACTAAAATGGAAAATATCGCAACAAACATAAATCAAGCTAAAATGATACATTCCCCAAAATGTATGTCGGATCGGGAAAGATTATGTTTAGTCTGCCTTGTTTACATTTGGTGCGGGCCGATTGCATATTTTTCATTTTAAGGCAGTATTATTGACAAGTGTGTTTAGTTATTTGTTGTCTACGCTTGTGCACCACTGCCAATGCCGCATCACCGAATAATTTGTTTAAGAGTACATCGCAGTGTACCCATGGAGGTGGGAATGGCGAACGATGGGGTGCTGTGTCCAGCTCTATGCCCGACTAATATACCATACAGACAAAGGTGCCCTGTATAGCCTTACCAGACTGTTGGAGCAAGTTCTGTTGGAGAGCTACTAAAAAGGCCGGAACGGCTTACGAAGGGGGTGGGTGGCCAGCACCACCCACGGCCCCCTTTTTCTCCCCAGTGGTGACGTTTACACATCGCACCAGGTACCAATTTAAGGCCGAGTCGATGTAGGGGAGGCTCAGGGCCAGTTCAGATAATCGTCCCTGGTGTTGATCGTGAGCGGGAATCGAACTCGGGTCGCGGGGTTCGTAGCGCAGCGCCACCGCTCCCCATATACCACACGTCATCACACACAGGCACAGACCCCCCCCCACCCAGACAGCGCGCCATCGTACTCGTCTCAAGGGGGTCGTGGTGGCTGGGATTGAAGGCCTGGAGTTCGGTCTCCACACGGTAGAGGGCGTGTCCATTACCGGACGGCTCGGCCTGTATCCGATAAGCAGCCCGGCCTGAAAGCAGCACACCACACACAAGTACCGTCGGTCACGCATATGCCCTGCTCTGTATGATGTGTCTGTGATGCATCAGACTGCCAGGTGGTCTCTGTGAGGTGAACACAGAGGCAGAGTGATGAAGCTCTCTTGTTGGTACACAGCCCTTCTACAGACAAGAACTCTTCAGCTCCTTCCCGTGGTACTGGCAGCACTCGAGAAACGAGGCTAAACCTGCAAAGGCTTCTAGATTTGAAGCTTTCGTGACTGCAAGGATTCACGTAAAGGCTTCTAGGAGAGGGAACTCACACAGCTGCGTGGGTGCATTAAAGATAGTTTTTTTTCCTGTTTTTAACCATTTATATAGCATTTATTAAACATGACATGAAGACATTTTCCAATGGAAATGCTTGTAAAAATCAGTGTATACCGCACGTTAGGCAATGGCCTCTGGAAGACGACGTCATAAAACTACTTCCGAAGTCGCTTACGTTTTAGTAAGTATATAAAATAAAAACTATAAAATGTATTGTAAAGAGTTAAAACTCCTCCGGATGTTGAGTCAATAAACCGAATGTAAAATACTTGCACAATAATCCTTAATTTGGGATTTACCATCCTGCTATTTTATTGATACTGTCATCTTCTAATGTTTATATCTTACGCTTCTGGAAGATGTCCCTGCACTCACGGTGACTGTTAATTCCTTTTCCATCAGACATTTAGATTGTCGTCTTCCTCTTCCAGAAGCCGTGCAATCGTATTTTTTGTTCATTCAGTTTGGTCGTGCGTGTTGACAAACTGGTATTTTTCTCAGAACCTGCAGGTCACGAACTAAGAATTAACATCAAAACTTAATCTCTCACCTGCCCTTCATACCCACAAGAGGATGTGTGCCATTGTTGCTGTGTAGTCACTGGTGACGAGGCTGAGATGGTTCAACTTGCTACAGTGAAGAACCCAATTTTAACAATGGATGGTTGCCCAGCTTTGGACCCTGGACCGTGAGTCAGGGCTGGCTCAACGATCCCCCACCGTATCATCTTGCCACTCTTGTATCTTTCTACGTCATAGTAGCCTTCTCGCCCTCTACGTTCTCAATATTTGCGGTCCGTTTCTCGTTCTCCTTGTGCTCAATCCACGCTTTCACTCTTTCTCTTCTTGTGCCCCTTCACTGGAACAAACTTCACCCTCCACATTAAACAGTCACCTTCGCTCACTAGTTTCCGCTCCTCACTCAAAACTTATCGTTTCCTAGCTCACCCCACGACCTCCCCTTAATTGCCCCCTCATAACCACCACTGTTCCTCATCCCTCTTCATATTCTGATAACATGGCTGTCACTCATTCTCCATTAATTCAATCCATTCATCATCATAATTTACTGCCATAAATTTTGCTTTCGCCGAATTCACGCATCACAGATTCGCCCCCCATTGCTTCCTCTCATCTATTTTATTCATCTCATCTCCATCATTACATTCATACGTTGTACCTTGCTTAATTCTCTGTAAAGCGCCATTCTCAAGGCGCTGTATAAATTACGTTAAGATGAGATCCAACCCCAGTAGGAGAGTCCCCCGAGCAACCGTGCCCAACTGAATAGGATCGCAATTGACGGCGACTGTCGTTTCTCACCAGAGGAGGAGTTCAAATCGACCTGCTGACGGTGAAGCAGCGGCGCGTTGGAAGAATGACCCACTGTACACGCACATACAACACGTGCAACAGAACACATGAGGAGCAAACGGTGGCACGGTGAATTTCAGCAGGATTGGTGAATTCATTTAATAAGTTTCGTATCCATCATACCCACTCAGATCAATGACACCCATTTTGTGGGGGCTACAGGCCCACGCACAGTCAGTTATGGTGCTTAAATCATCAGCTGTGCACGCCTCCTCTAACAACAACACGGGAGTAGATGAGCGAGGCATGGTCTGCTCCTGGCTGCAGATGCAGTTCGTATTCTGGGCCTAGTTGATATAGCCCCACTTCCTGAGATTGAATCTACAGCAGCTGAAAATATGAGTGTCAGTGTGGTGCATGTATGGTGCATGTTGAAGCAATGACCAGAAGTGCAGTGCATTGTTGGTATGGTATTTGGAGCATTGTAACATATTTATGCAGTAAAGCTTGCGTGACATATGCCTGTAATAAGGGGCTTCTGATGCAAAGTTAGTGGATTATGCATATCTGTGAAACTCCCAATTCCAGTGGATGTGTGGTGATGCAGTGCGTGGTGGTGTAAACCGGTGTGGTGGTGCAGTGAGTGGTGGCGCGATGCGTGGCGATGCATACCCGAGCTGGCGTTGTCGTGGTAGTCTTCGTGGAGGGGGTAACCCCGTGGGGCGGGCGAGTGCCCACGCGCGTACCGGGTGGAAAAGCGGGAGAAGACACTCGGAGCTCGAGTTGAGCCGGCATACGAGCCCGTGGCCGCCTTGCCAGCTTCATACACTACACCACACAATTACAAACACGCACAGCAATACACTCAAACCACCGACTAAACGTCACCACCATCCACCACTGCATGCCATGGTACACAATTATTTCGGTGACGGCCTGGCCACATATGACAGCTAATCGAAGTGATCTATGTTTGAGAATTCATCGTTGGAAACTAATGTAAACGTTTGTTTCTTAATGTGGATGGAAAAACAGGAGGACCTGGAGAAAAATCCATGCAAGCACAGGGAGAGTATTGAACCCATGACCTCCTGCATACCAGGCGAGGGAGAAATTATCTCACCACCACAGCACCCCTGGAGGGTGCGTCGTGTGTGCTGCACGTCTCGTATGCCATGTGTGTGTGCGCTGCACGCGCGCATCACGACACGTGTCTCTGCATCTCCTCACATGCGCGGGGGCAGCAGCAGCGCTCGGGGCAGCACACACACGACAAGTAGCAGCAGCAGGTGTGAGGGCAGCACTGGCACCAGCAGACGCCGATAAGAATGAGCAGCAGCACTCCGCCCATCACGATGAGCACCACGAACAGCCAGTCTGTGAACACAAACGCAGACCTTATATACGACACATTGCCTATTATTTGTCTAAAGATAAGTGCCTTTTATTTGCAGACATCAAAGCATCTGGTATGGGTATTGAGTGGTTGAAGGGACCAACAAATCAATCCTCTTGCAAGATACTGTGCAGGTAACAAGATAATCTATCCCACTGAAAAACAGGGGGGCAGTTTGAGGACTTCCAATTCTATTTATTTACAACTCTATAATAACCTTTTGAGAGGTGAGATGAAATGGCAACATATACAAACCACAACTTCCCACAAAATGTCCTTCTCATAAGGTTTAGAGCTGCAGCGGCATGGCTTTTGAGACAAATATTAATTGCGTATATTGTGCTTTTGGCCATCCCACAGGCGTCTCTGAGCCACTATGCGACTCAGGAACGCTATGGTGCAAGTAACGCAATCCACAAATTGTTTATGATGATCAGGGGGCAACCCCTATCTGCAACTCAATTAATATCTCATCCCTTACCCTGCTTATTGCACACGCGCAGAGTGTCAACACATTTATACACAAAGGTCCATATCCCAGGAAATTATAAAAGGAAGATGTAAAATAATGGATTTCTGGTTCTCATGAACTGCAACGCAAGTCAAAAATAATAATTAACATTTATTTGTAAGGCGCATTCTCACACACACTTCCTCACTGTTTCACACATAATGTTTCTCAATCACCCTTACAGACACTAAAATAATCTCTTTCCCAGATACCTGAGAGGCCGGGCAAGTCAAACCCAGGCAGGAGCTCTGTCCTGTTTGAGGTTCTGCCTAAAAGACAACGGAAACAGGGAGAGTGCGCTAGGTAGCGACGAGGACGACCCCGCGCCCACCCATATCCTCAGCACTGGAAATAGGTGGCCAAACCCACACTCCCAAATTCAAAGCGACAGTACACTTAAATATTAGCCCTCAGGCACATACCCACTCTCAAACCCACGCCACACTCAAAATATCCACACTTCCCAAACCACACCTGTGAATACACGGCACAATCAAAAATCACTCATCACAGAATCACACTTTCCCACAAACCAACAGAACTTTGGATACTCAACACCCCAAAAACTACACACAATCGTCAACCCACAGCACTCAATGCAGTAGAATTTTTTTTGCATTCAAGTATATTCTTTAACGCTCTCCGACATGTGTTTGTCCTCGGCAGTACTTATATCATTAATGTGTAACGTAGCACACAAGGCACGCAGGAGCGTGTACACTAGTAAGCTGTGGTGGGACAGCAAGGCTTGCACAGCAGTCTGACCAGGAAGGACACGACTCAGCCAGCAGGGCCGGGATGCCAAGGTGGGTTATTTCAGCGCCGGTTTTTTGCCTCCAAATTTTTTTAGGCAACCCTATGATCGACGTGGCCAGCTTTTTACAGGGGAAGTTCATAAAAGCACAAGGATTTTTAATAGAGTTTGATCTTTACGAGAATTACTGTTCCCCACCCCATTACAGACAGGCAGAGAAGTGGGATGGACAGAGATAATGCTTTAACAATTTCAAACGACAACACCACCACCCATGGCACTCAAATGTCCAAATTCCAAAAACTGCAAACCACTCAAATTCACAGCACACTCCCAAATCTACCACAGCTTTCCTCCAAAACACACAAACTCCCAAAATCATACACCTACTACCGACACTAAAAGCCAAATCATCCCCCACGCTCCCAAACACACTCTACACCCTCGAAAACTCACACCTACACAATAACTTACATTCCTCAACACAAACTTAAAAAACACACAAAACTACCAAACAATATTCCAAAACCTGTCCGGGCTCCTACAACCCCACACCTAAACTCCAAACAACTCAAACCCATATTGCCACCCACAATTCCAAAGCTATACCCATTGCCAAATCCACACCACATGCTCACTTGGACTAACATTAATCTAATCTATCTTACTGGCACCTCAAGATCACTGTTTAACGATGACAAACCATCACAAATTAATAAACAAATCCGAGTCTGAACACTGCAGGGCCCACAATCCAAAACTCAAATGAGGAAAAAAAAAACTCCTTTTGTAAAAATTCCATGTTCCTAACCAATCATCTTATTGTACCCCAAGTATATACACACCCTAAGCCTTCCACAGTCAACCCCATATTTCTCAAATAAAACCATTCTCTTGAACATGTACATATTCCCATTCTATTTCTCAATGTACGTAAACACTCAAATCGCATGTCGAACCAAAGCCAACAAACTATCCAGAAAACTAACATATCCAATGTATTCTTGACATTTTAAATAACTGCTTAAATTCCATAACAAAGTTAACTTTCCAAAACCACATCAACATTTGAAATTAGACACCAATTCAGTGCTAAGTTGACATTTATAAATCATCCCTCCGATTAACATGATCGGCTCTGTATGGTGCGAAAGAAGTTCAACAAGCATACATAAATGCCAACATTTCCACTGTACGTCGACATTTAACTTATGCTGGTAACAAATGTATGCATCCCTTCCCGAACCATGCCAACATTTCAATCTCATGCAATACAATGGTTGATTCTATTTTGTGCCAAGATTCCCATGGTCAGCTGATGCTGCCAGTGGCATGTCAGCTGGCAATCAGCATCCTTGCCACCGATTCAGATCATACTGTGTGAACCATTCATTTCCTAGTGCCAACCAGTAATGTATCTGGGGCTTTCTTATTATCAGGCAGATAGCTGTAAAGAGGATTGTAAAGAGGGCGTTGAAGACCCAGGGATGCCAATACAATCCTAAAATTGCGGTGGACTTCTACATTCATATGGTGGGGGTGAGTGTCTAAAGCAGGGGTGGGAAACGTCCGGCCCGCGGGCCGTATGAGGCCCGCGAAATTATTTGGTCTGGCCCTGCCGAGGCAACCGCAGGCGGGACTCTAAATTCAATCAATCTAGGAGCAAACCTGGAAAAGCAGTTGCGAGTAGCAACATCATCAATACCAGCTAACATCACACGCCTCACCAAAGAGAAGCAGTTCCAGCCATCACATTAGGAGTGAGTTAATTAAATGTTTGACCAAATATAACAGGCTAATTTTTAAGTTGATCATTTTGTATGGCCCGCGAATGATGTTATAAATATCCAAATGGCCCTTGGCAAAAAAAAGGTTCCCCGCCCCTGGTCTAAAGGATGACCACTGTTGACTCTCCCAAAACGTGGCACGGATTTGAAACTATGTTCATCATAGTGCAGGCACTTTCCAGACACTAAAATAAGCTACGCATGAAACTAAGTGCATACAGCTCAGCAAATACATGCGGGGGCCAGCCGACCAGGGCCCAGCAGGGGCCTCACAAGACACTCTGCCACCTGGTCCCAACCACTACTAGGAACACTGGAACATTGGGGACCGTATTAATTCTAGTCAAATCATCAGGACTACCAATGGGACCACTGGGACCACCAGCGGATCCACTGTGGCCGCCAATTAAACCACTGGAAGATGATTGAATGCTCACTCACTCTTATGTATACACACCACGGATGCTCACTTTTAAGATGAAAATCACAGAAGCATTGATATTCCTGCAGCAATGGTGCAGAGTGGAATAGTAAAAATCCAACACGATTCCTGCAGGAAGTGCCCAGATCTTCTTGCATTGATGCAAATGTTTGCATGACCACATACATTGTACATGTGTGTACATATTCATTAAATAAAGCTTGAGCATGCAGACCTACATGTACACACGAGTGTGTGCAAGCGTGTATCATTTAGTGTACCATACATGGGTTGATTAGTACGTGTGTGTGTGTGTGAACATGCATACTCAGAACGAGGAGTTCTCCATATGCTTCGTTGTTTCCTGATAGATCAGCAGTAGAAATAACCTGTAGGACACAAAGGCAGAAATACAACAATATTCAACTATGATAACAATACCACCCTGTATGTATGTGTGTTGAATTTCTTCCGCACTGTGTGTTGTTAACCATGCTAACCGGAAGTGCGTATGTATCACTACAGTCGGAGTCTACTTATTTGCGATGAAATGATAAAGTATATGTTAATCTGATGCAATGAAGTATATATTAAACTGATGTTTATTTGATGAGAATATATTTTTCCCCTTTTATCTGGCAACAAAACAAGTGTTAAGTTGTTAAAACACCAAACTGAAACCTTTTACAAGGAATCATGTCTGCATTAACCACAATACTTGTGGTCAGAATGCAAACAAAAAACATACTCTGATAATCTATGCATTTTCTTTGAAACTGATTTGTCCACACCAGAGACCGCTTTCTTTTGAGCCTCGTCTCAAACGGTATTTTGATACTGGCAAAGAAGGTCCCATGATGTTAATCTGATACTTTGTTTGGTGGGCAAAAAGCATAAAAAAATATTAAAAACCCTAGGTCAGCACACGACCATACTTGCCAATGAGCAAATTTTCATGGCACTAATGGTTTGATTCCTTTAGCTGCTAAGTGACTACCTTCCTTGCAAAAGCAATTAATCTCAGCAGATTCTCAGCTAATAAACTAAAGCTCACTGAATGCACTGTACTACTGACCTGGCAGTAGTAGACGCCACTGTCTCCCCATTGGGTCATTTGGATCTCCAGCTCCGCCTCTGAAATAAGTACACACACACAGAAACATAAAGCACATGTACTCAATCGTACGCAACACTATAAGCAGTCACGGCAGACAAAACGATAACTATAACCACAGACGATCAAGACGTACATAGGTAAGCATAAATACTGTAATTTATCTACACACGAACACATTACATACAGGTGACCATGACCGAGTCAATTCTAATTATCTTCTGGAAGGGCGATACAAAGCTTGAATGTATAGTCAACATTGATAACAAAAAAATCTCTAAATCAAAATTACAACCAGAAGTTAGAAATGTTTCACTTGACAGGGCAAGATGAGCTTATATATTTTTTTTATTTAAGTGTTGTGTCATGCAGTGCCACCATTTGATGTGCACGGCTGCCAATGAAGTGATTGTGTGATATAAATAATTGTTTTCTCTTGTTAACTTGAGGAAACATGCTCCGCTGTTCCACTGTGACCCCTTCCTGTAAGAGTGTCCTGAGATGCTCTTGCATTAAATGTTAATACATTGCAATTATTGTTCCCTTGTGTTCCAGTCTACCTCGATATCTCTCGTTACACCCGGACCTCGTGCTTCCCTCATGCATTCCCCTGCTCCCCCCCATGTCCACGTACGGTTGATGATGGTGATGCGCCGCGCTTGGTAGTCATTTCCTAGAGTCACCGTGTTGCCACGCTTTGTGGCCACGGTACGAATGACGCGCTGGGCGTCCGGGCAGTCCGTGTACGGGTTGTAGTTCGGGTTTGCCTGCTGCACCTGCACTCGCATACAAGAGACCAAAATTCCCGCAAAGTCAGACAGACTCTCGGGGGAAGTCTTCCAGAGTGCCTATAAAGTCCGGAAGAGCACAAAAAGGGGTGGTGTAACACGCACCGCGGCAAGCCACTTTCGTCTCCCCAGTATTGACATTTGCACATTGTGCCAGGTACTGAATTAAGTCAACCTGGAGGAAGCCAAGGACAGGATCATTTAACCCTTGCCAATGATACTGTGCATCCTGGGGCATGAAACGAGGAGCACAGGTAGCGGTGTTCACACCAGCAGGTCTGAAATTGGCTGCCCACACGTCGCATGGGTTTTAACACCACTGTCATGGATAATAACCCCACTGCTGGCAAGTTGTTTTTTTATTATACATAGATATGGTGTTAAGAGGATTAGATTGTATCAACTGTTTATGTTAAAGCCACTGTTTGTTTTGTTTTCAAAGCCTACCTAAGCCTGAGTAGTCTGCAGAGCTTAGTTTAGATCTACTGTCTACTTTCGATAAGCTTTGTGGCTAATACTCCAAAGGTAGATAGGGGGAACGGCTCTTGATCCTATCTTGGCCGAGACAAATGTTACATTTATTCCGACTCCTGACCACTGTGGTACGCACACGTGCCCTGTGCCATGTCAGGTTCAGTTGCATGGAGTGGATCCGTGTGTCCCCACAAATCATGAGCTAAGAGGCTTTGTAGGCTCAGCCCCTCCCATCCCATCCCTCACCACCCCTTCTCTCCACTGAACGGCCAGATAATTTTTTTTTTTTAAACATCTTTCAACATTTAATATGGGTTTGGGTTAGGTTGTTTGCATCGAAAATCAATTCACACTATGCTTTCTTTTCTTCCAGTGCTTTTTGTTCAACACAAGCCTGGAGATGAACCGAGGCCACTGGACATGCATCCCATTTCCACGTTCATGCCGCGTCCAGAAACAAGAAACTGTATTATGCTGTTGTGTAATCTTACGACATCCTCACATGAAGGTAAAATCATGCAGCTTAAAATGAAAAGTGAGCTCACAAGGCTACTTCCCCAAGCAGCCTACATGGCACTGGGTCAACCAAGCAGGCCGAAGGTGGGAATGTGGATTGAACCGTCTCCTTCAGTTCGTGAGCTGATCCAAACACGCTTTGTAAGTGGTCGTGAACAGAAGGCATAGGTGTTAAATCGAACAAAGGCAGTGGTGTCCCCATTCTCACACAAACATTGGCCAACCACTCATCTCCTTAGACAATAGTGGAAATTCCAGATTGTCTTGATTTGAACTAGTCTAACCATGCCAACTATCATAGACCCCTCAAATAAAAGGGCTCACCCTTGTGGATCCTAGGGGAAAATACATTTCATAAATTCCATCCGGGATATAAACACAAGATCTGTCTTGTATCAAGTTGGTGACAAATGCAAATCGTGAGTGATTACAATGTAGCAAAAGTTAATAAAACGTTCAAACAGATAATTTCAGAACTTTGTGGGCCCCATTTACTCGGCTTGTACTGAGGTGGGTGTGTAATGTGCAAGCTTGCCTGGTTGTTAATGCTGACGCTGCCACTGGACGGGTTGAGGGAATCGGAGACGCGGTCCCGGCAGTAGGATTTGTACTTCCACATGACGATGGGCTCCTCGTTGGGCACAGACGTCGTGTATTCGCAGCGCAGAGTCACGTACTGAAACAGCATGGCCACGTTCCATGGATTCTTCACCCTCACTTGCATGCCTCCTACGCTTGCTGCAAGTGCCAACAGAACACGGCGTGAGATTACACAACATCACAACATGGCATGAGACTACACAGCATCACAACACAGCACGATGCCCATGGCTTCATTACACAGCACTGCACGGCATTACAACGTTGTGTGGCCCACGCTGACAGTGAAGACGTGGAGTTTTTTTGATTGCAATAAATAACTCTTTATATTGCACATTATTTATCAAACCAAGTGAAATCGAACGGCGCATATCATCTTTGAGATAGAGGAGTTTGGGTGTCCATAGCAAAGATTCATCCATAAAATAACGTTCCTGCAACTTGTGTGGGGAGGCTTTCAAACTCGACAACATGAGGTCCCCCCGCCGACCCTCCACGTGCGCTTTCCTTTACAAGGCAATAAAACACGCACCGTGGAAACCACCGGGTGGTGAGCGTCTGAAAATGACGGCATCGGCACGCCGAGCACGATGTAAAATCTTGTCAAAATTAGGCAAAAACCACCCCACGTAACTACCAAGGATTACACACATTCTTCGTTAAATATAGACGGGGCACTGTCTACGCGTATGACTAACGCTCATGACTAAGGCTATGCAATGTTATTGACGGCGGTCACGGAAGTGGACAATTTTGGGGTGGCTTTTTAAAACGTATCACTGTATAGATTAAGCGTTTCTACGGTTGTAATGTTGGGAGAAAAATAACTACCATCGGAGACAAGTAGACACACAGAAATAAACACACAGAGACGTTAAGATAAACAACACCGACAGGCACTCATATACCGATTAATACATGTGGAGATGGGCATACACACGGAGATGTAGAATGACACAAAGCACTGCGACATTTATTTATTTTAAATGCCACAAGTCAGTGAGATGGGAGCAAATAATTTCGTCTCGCACCTAGGCTGTGGATGTCACTAAATCGTAGGCTTACTTAGGACTCGTCTTTTTAAATATTTTGTTTTACTATTAGTAACGAACCATTACATCGGTAGGTGAAAAAATGGGGCTTCCGATTGGCCGCACGCGTTGGAAATGTCTAGCAATTAACATTTCTGTATTTTTTTTACTGAGAAACGAAGCGAGCTGTGGTGTAATGGTGAGCACACTGTACTTGCAATCCAGCGTGAAAGGGTAGGCCAAGTACCGTCTCGTCTAGAGCTCCTTCTTAGTGGAGGCCCTTACGCCAAGCAGTGGCATGAAAAAGCAATTGCAGGACTGCACCTCTAGCCCTTTTTGGAAACCGAGAAAGGGGGCTTACCCCACGCCTTGCGTGGAAACGGTTACCGGTTCTTCCATTTAGAAACCAGTAATCCAGTCTGAACATGTGTTATACAGATTCATCGGTTGTCGTTTAGTTGCGACTTACCTACGATACATTAGATTAACGATACACAACAGCTGCGCTGAATGGTGGAGTTCCGTGGAAGTGAAGCGGGAGCCGAGTTCTCGAACAAAGATCGCGGTTTCAAGGTCGGTCTACGTTCCCACCCTCACCTATGGTCATGAGCTTTGGGTGATCGCCCGATAGGATGAGATCGACGGGTTCCGTGATCGGCGGAGGAGCTTGGTAATCTGGGAGAGTCTCAGAGTCGAGCCGCTGCTCCTCCGGATCGAGAGGAGCCAACTGAGGTGGGGTTCGGGTACCCGGTAAGGATGCCCCCCGGTAGACTCCCCCTGGAACTCTACCGGGCATCATCAGCACGTCCCACTGGGCGAAGAACCCGGGGCCGGCCCAGGTCACACTGGCGGGACGATGTCGCTCGGCTGGCCTGGGAACGCCTGGGAATACCCCAGGAAGAGCTAAAGTCTGTGTATAGTAGTGCATAGTGTAGTGTAGTAGTGCTAGAGTCCGTCGCCAGGGAAAGGAAGGTCTGGACCGCCACTACTCAACATGCTGCCCGCCGCGACCCTCATCAGGACAAGCGAACTGAGAAACGAACAGCAGGCGGTTGTGCAATTTTAATGTGCCCTGTCTTCTAACTGGGACATCGAAACACTATGGAACCCTGCATCACCGTATACAGGGCCCGATTCTTATTTTGAACGAATGTTAATTTTCGCCAAGATTTTTCTTCTCGTAAATAATCGGTTTGACTGAGTTGCGCCGATCTCGCAGCAGAGTGAATAGCAAAGTGCGACCTCTACCGTGGGCACACGTTGAGATTTTCCAATCGATTCTTTGTCTAACGACGAGGCCACCAGAATAGTTATTTACAAGTTCCACATGTTTAATTTAAAATCTACGGTCACATAATTACAATAGCGACAATCACCGAGATGATGCGTTTAAGCCATTTCATCACAAATCTGTCCCAAATTATCTCAAAAACCAACACGGTCATCATCCTTGGCGAGTGATGGAAATTGGACATTACCATTGTTGCCATTGCAAGAACTTACATTGTTACCAGTTATAATTGCAATCCTATACGATGCTTGCATTATTTATAAGATATCTGTGTAATTCATATTGCAATGCTATCATATCCTATTTTTAAAGCGTTACGTCAGTGTCGTTGTAATAATACTAAAGTCATTATTGTTATTGTTGTAGACACCCAAGGAAGGCTAGAGATGGTTTGACTTTGTTTGAAATTCTTGAAGTTTTATTTTCAGTTGCACGCGCAGTTAAGCATTGCTACTGTGGCTTTAACAATCATGGTAAACGTACGACTCCAGTTTGCCTAGTTAACACTTTAATTGATCACCCCAACTGTGTTTAATTTATTGGGATGACTGTAGTTCCTAATGCCAGCTATGGCTGCAGGGTTTTGGTAGTACATGTTGTTTATGTCGTTTATTGTGAAAATTCCGTCACAGTTCCTATGATCACTGTTTCATTGCTTTCATTGGCTTTATTTTGGTGATTTCAAAAAGTTTTTTGGTTTGGCCATGTTTGTTTGTTGTAGTACGGAGTAAGACTGATGGCCTTAATCTAAGTTGTCTTGTCGTTGTTGTTTGACTTGCATCCCACTGGGATTTTTGCACACGGCGTTGGTGTACGGTGTTTTTTATGCAATATTTTGCTGTCTTTTCTTGGATTTTCTGTTTACACTTAGTCATATATTCACTTTAAGATGTTTTCTTGTTCATGTTTTTGTTTTTTGTTTGTTGCGGTTGCACCCGATTCAAGAGCCGAATGGCTCACATGGCTACAACTAATACATTTACTTGAACTTGAATGCCGGGGGAGCGGTGGCGCAATAGCGAACGCAATGTGCCCTACAAACTCGACGAACCCATCTCGACTCCAGGTTTCGGACCAACAGAACCGGTCCTGGGGGCCGCATCCCCCTTCAGCAACCCACACCGACGATCGTGACAGAGAATGGCCGAAAAGCAACCGATGGAACGCTGCGTAGACAAAGAAGAAGGAACCTCACTGGGATTTTAAACCACAGTGGGCCCCCTTTAGACGACGCAGATATGGAACCTCCGGGTCCGCCATTGCTTCCCCCGCTCGTTACCTGCGGCTCGCCAAGACCCACCCCCCTCCACCTCACCACGTTGTGAGATTGCCTCGCAGCCGTCACGAGCACGCACGAAGCTCGTGTCTCCTTCACAACCTGGCAGGGAATCGCGCCGACGAATTGGGCAAGAAGCAAGAGAGAATCCGAGGCGCCCTCACCTGCAAGGCCGCACACAATCCACACGCGCAGCCACATCGCGCCCTCTCGGCAAGGGGCTCTTCTTCTTGTTCCCTTCTCGCCTCCCTCCTTCTCTTCCAACTCCTTGACGACGACTTCGAACGCAGTCGAATTGTCTCGTTTAAGAAGTTAACTCGAGACAAACTCGAGCGCTGCCGTGTAATGGTTTCTCGCAGGGAGGGGAGTAAACAGGACGCGACCACGCGCACCTGGCGAGGGGAGGAGGAGGGGGGGGACGACTCCGACATTTCACTTCGTAAACGTTATAAAACACTAAAAAAGGGGTCGTCTTTGAAAGCGAGAAAAAGTGGATCGTAGTTTCGATGATTAATTAGTTTCTATGTCCTGTTGATGTAGTTGTAGTTCGTTAATTGCAACTACGTTACGATGCGATAGATGGTCCAGGTGAGTGTTGAATGGTTTCGTCCGCCCTCTCGTCTCCGTGCAATGGAGACCGGACTCGACCATTCGCCCGCAGGCGGCGGGGAGGGGGGAGAATTGAAGTCGTCATTCTCTAACCCCCTCTACGAGACGCCTGAACACGGCAGTTTAGTGATGCCGAATCTCCCCAACTACAAAACAACAAATATTTATATTACGAATTGTATTTGTTTACGTCATATTTGTGTAAAAATGCAATCGCCGTGAGATTAATCGTGTAGGTATGTATGGAATGGTTTCGTCCATCGGGGCGCGACCATTACTCCGTGACGGGGGGGGGAGTTGCTTTCAGTTTACATCAAAACGTGAACTAACCTCAAACCCTTGGCCATATTGAAGCTAGATTTATACAAAAGATTATATTTAAATCTCGCTTGATAGTTTCATGCAGGTGAATGTGTTCTGTGCGCGCTTGCTGGGCTCGATACTTTCGCCTGACCCCCAGACGCTCTGCCACAGGTAAACGCGTCCCGAGGGCCTGGGCGTTGGTCAGGGGATGGCGACTGCGGGATGACGTCACGCGGTGACGTCAAATATCCACCTCCACGGGCTCCCACAATGCAACGCGGGCGAGTGGGGGCAGGGGAGGGGGGTCAAAGGTGACGAGTAGAGTTTTTTTTATTGTATAGTACAGAAGGGCAATTGCTCGAAACGTCGCCTGTTATATAGTTCCACGAAAGTGTTGAGGAATTTTGATTGTTACCACTGCCAACGCAGTTTTCAATAAAATTCCAGGTTTTTTTTGTTATATATAGCTGGGCTTTAGAGTGCTTCACATCACCAGAAAGCTGTCAATCCCCTATCGGTGCCCTACCTTATTACAGACCAATTCAGACCTTATTGGTCACCCCGTGCCCTTGTAAATCTCAACGTTCATCCTACAAAGTCCCATCACAAGGGATAAACAAACAAACAAAAACATTTGTTATTTCCCGTATTTAAACGGCTGTACGCCGTATGGACCTGAAAACTAAATTTCCCTGTACAACAATACGGGGTAAACTGTATGGGTTGACATAAATTAAATCGCATCTCATTGCAACACATTTGAAAAGGGCACCCCCCCTCCCCAGTGGCAGCTGTCCCTGTGCGGCCATGAGGTCTCTCTCAGCACATTGACTGACACGGGAATTGATCACTTTGTGTAATCACAATTGTGCTGTTTGTGGGTAATTTTTGACACGAATCTGGCACATTTTGGACCCTGACGCCGGCACGCAATGACGCCGGGTCATCGTTAATGTCCATCATTGTGATGCCCGCAGTACTAATCGGGGCTGGCCGCTGGAATCAAACCTCTACGACAAACGGGCTGTGTCATTGGTTATTCTGGACAATGTTTTATCAGAGACCAAAATACTGTTTTTTTTGGGTTAGATCACGTACATATGTAGAGGAGTAGGGTGATGATGTCATGTCATGGGAGCTGTAAGGGGATACCTTCAGGAACAGGGGCGGGTCCGAGTGAAGGGGAGAAGTTGCCCAAGGGGTACTTAAGGAGGACCCCGTGACGAAGGCGGGGTCATTGTGGGAGCCCGGAGTGTTGATCGGCTGCAAGAGGTCTCTCCCGCTCGTGACCGGACAGTGTTGGCTGAACCCCCGTCCAGGCTCGACAATTGGGAAAGCCGAAGAGATAGCAGAGAGTAGGGCTCCAAGAAGTCTTTGAGAATCGGCTGAGAGTGAGTGGGGTTCTTCTCTCCACGGCCGGGTGGTGTTGGATGAACCCCCGTCCCGGCCCGAGTGAGAGAGCCCAAGGGATAGCTGAAGTTAGGACGAGTAGAACTTGGGGGTCCACGGGAAAGACCGAGTATAGAGAACACCTACCCCTGGAGTGAGCCTGAGTGTTTAAACCGTGTTAATAAACGGCGAACGCCCTTACAAGAAGTTCCGTCTCCGCGTGGTTCTCCGATGCAACAAATATATAAATGTGTCGTTAAACCCGCCACCACAGCCAATTAGTAAGGGTTGTCACGTAAACAGAATATGCCAATTCGTCACTATTACAGCACCCACCGGTGTGTTGGAGGGCAAAGCCACAACATTTATAATCTGAGTACGACGTTTCGCCAGTAATTACAACTAGCTTCATCAGGCGAGAGTCAGATTTGTGAAGTCCTCTTCATTTATATATTTACGCGATCTAACCCCAAAAAAAACTGTATTATGGATGATATTGGTCGCAAAAGCCTACGTCTTAAACTTCTTAGAGACCATCAGCAGGGTTTTGTGAATGTTCACGCGTTGGTTTTTTTGGTGGTGCTCGTACACGCCTGTAATCCAACACTGGAAGGCGAGGGTTGGCGGATCACACAAGTGTTGTGAAAGTCCCTTCTCGACTTTTGTTGTAACGATGTCATTATTAATGTAAGATTAGGTTTTTCTCTGAAAAAAAGTCTGCTCCAGACTTTCAGTGAAGAGGTTTAAAAAAAATACAGTGAGGATTGCAAGCCTTAAGGAAGAACGAGGAGAGTGCAACTACAAAGATACCCAGCACACCCCGACTGGTGATACCCATTCAGCCCGCACCAATTGCCGCCATTCACCACGGCGCCTGTGCCAGGCTAGGTGCACTTTTGAGGCCACACGGAGTGTCGAAGGCTCGCTGACAGGAGGTCACGGGACATACCCAGGTGCCATGGGTTGACTGAGATGACTGACAGATGCACCAGCTGTTGCCCCTACTGTACCACATACAAGATACACACTACAAGTTCCACCAGGTGTTTTTATTCAAATTTAAACGTCAGCTTACCTGGTGACAAATGACAGGTATGCAGAAATGTTGTTGGGAAATGCAGTAATTAGGCGTGCGATTATTGCACAATTATGTATGCATGTTGAACTTCTTTCGCACCGTACGTAGCATACTGTACTAATCGGAGGTTGCATATGTGTATGTGAATGAGAAAATGCGACGCGAAAGTGTGCTTGTGTGCTAGTAAACACCCCCTGGGTTATGCTAAGGAGATGCACATCGCTTCAGCTGCCCGTACCAGCAGAAAAGGCTGCAAGCTACAGTCCTTTCTAATAGCATTTACAAAGTTTCCTGCATCACCATCCCAATTTCCATTAAAAAGGGCAACAATGACAATTAATTTTACATCCTCCAGGGTCAGGTTAACAGATTTGCTTAACTTCAGAGTAGTACAATTAGAAGACGTAGGATGTCGTTTCAGGTTTGTGCAGCATCAGAGCTCAAAATTATCACACCGTTTTGTCCGTAGTGCATCCAAACGGCACAAAGTGCCAGGTCTATTTATACTCGGTGGCTGATCAGTAGGCATGTGACGATTCATTGGCAACAGCTGATTCAATCATTCACGATATATGCACTGGATACTTATAACTCTTTTGATGTATGCAAATGAGATACAATTACCCGAACAGATAACATGGAACGAACGAGACAAATGTGCCAGATAGAGAGTACAAATTAGTACAAATGTAACTTGCATCGTTACCTTGACTCATAAAAAATATAATTGATCTGCAACGGGTGTGAATTGTTATGTGCTTACTAATCAACATACTTAAACTCATGTTCCTGGCGCAAACGCCTGGGAATTTCACCCATCCGACTCCTGGTCCTCTGTAAAAGGCCTACTTCTGGTTCACTTGGTATTCGGACTTGTTTACATTCACAACAGCCTTATCGTTTGATACTTGCTGATGGCTGGTACCGACGTTGTCGAGGCAGGGCCTTCCGAAGGAGGTTCATAAACAATGTTGCGGGGCAGCAGTTGGCAGTGGGCCCCTCCAGCAATACTCGGAGGCAGAGACACCACAGCACGTGGCTGTGGTGCGGAGGGGCAGAGTTTGCTCAGATTATGGCACACTTGGTGCATTATGGCACACTCAGGCTACCGTTGTTTGTTCTATAGCTTCAGGTCAGTGAACCTTCATTACTTCAGGTGTCCTGGCTGAGCACGAAGCCTGGACACGCACGGTTATGCCTATAAATACGGCGTGAATGGGTGAATGAAAGATGTGCTGCTCTCTTGGTACATGCAGGAGTATCAAAGCATGCAATTGTGTGTATGAGTGCACGTGTGGAAACTGCCAAACATACAGATTTATGTGGTAGGTTGTGCCCAGTTTTAAATTTTTTTACCATATATCGATTTTCAATGCTGATCATACTAAAATAGTATTCTGTCGTATAAATATAATTTTAATGCAATTTTTGCTTTAAGAAAATCTGCACGGTAAAAGGGTTTAAAACCAGCAGCCCTGCCATTTACATCGGTGGGGTTGTCAAGTTTGGTGTACGTGTGAAAATGAGGGCGATCACGTTGGTTGCTTAGGTTCCACTCCAAACACAGCCGAATGCTCCTCAAACTGGGGGTAAGGAAGAATGAGAGCAGAGGGAAGGAATACATCATTAATAGGATTGAACATCTGCACATCACTGCGTATAATCGAATCTGTTGGAAAAAATGCACTGGTCAGATTTTAAGTTACATGTGCACCAAACTCGAAAAAATATCTGTCGCGAAATAATTCGGATGTTAAAATGAACCCGCAACTCGCGTAAACATCTAGCACAATTTCCGCACAACATTTGGTGAGTTTAAGAATTCAATGCTGAACTGTTTTTAATATAACAATAGGTTTTACCCTTTCTGCCAATAAAACAGTTGTGTCAAGATGTTATAACGCCAAACAAAATCCTTTTTCAAGGAATCGTGTCTGCATTGACCACACGTACTTGTGGTGAACATGCAATAAAAAAAACATGCTCTGATAATATATGCGTTGTCTTTGAAACTGATTGATCCAAGCCAGAGACAGCTTTCTTTTTAACCTAGTCTCAAAGTGTTCGACCAGAGAACGCCAAAAAGCGAACAGCACAAAAACAATGCCACTAGCAGGGCATTTATAACTCGGGGTGAGCAGCTACAATATGGGACCTTTTTCACAATCATTGAGCCCATGTGAAAGTACTGTTATATAAACGGCATCATTATTCTATTTGGTGAACAATCTCAGTACAAAATATAACAATCATACAATATACTCTTTGGTTCTTTCGGTAAAGTCACGTAGGTAGAAATAAAATAAATTAAACAAATCACGACATTTCGATCGCAACACAAGCAATCTTCATCAGGTGGAATAACCACAGCAAGAAAATGCTGAAGTAGGCGAGAGAGCTGCCGTGGCAAGAGGTTATATAGGTAAGAAAGGGGGATGAGCTAGGGGGGAGAGAGAGAGGGGGGGGGGGGGCTGCGTGAGCGCTAGGGGAAGAGGACGTGAGGCTGGGGGGGGGGGCTAGAAGTGGGAAGCTGAGTGTGGGACACAGGAGGAAAGTAACTCGGAAAAATAGACTAGTATCCTGCAGGAATGATGGAAACAACCACAAACAGTTAAGGCTTTACCTGGTTAATAACATCCTTCCAATGATTGCTCAATTTGTATCCATCTTCTCGGTTGAGGTTATGTCTATGTTTATATATCTGGATGGCTTCATGAACAAACCTTTGATAGTTGCCCGAAGGTTTGCAGAGTACCTTGGTCTCGGAAAAAACAATATCATGCGAGCCCACAGCGTTATAACAATGGTCAGCTACGGCAGAGGTATTGGTTCTGCCGTGTTTCAGATCTGTCTTGTGTTCGCGATCACGGTCCGAGACATGTCGTTTCGTTTCCCCAAATCAAAATCATACAATATCCAGAGCATGTATGTAAGACTCTGTAAATAACATAAAAGGTGTACCGCCCTGTCTCAATCCACTATTCGGTGAATTCCTGTCACGCAGCGGAGTAGTTTAACCATGCTTCATCACACTGGTGTGTGTGGGCTGGCAAAGAGCGAGTTGATGGTTCATCATTATTATCATCATCATTATTCCCCACGTCGTTCACACCCCGTGATTGTTTTGTCTTTGTCGTCGTGTGGCGATGATCCACGTGTGGTGAAGGCCACCGCCGCCGCTGCGTCCGTTCGGAATCTCACCGTGATCGAGGGAGATGGACGAACTCTTGCCACACGCGAGTTTGTCTCGCACGCCGGGCACGAGGGCGACCAGCAAACCCATCAGCACACCGAGGCCGGCGCAGGCCGCCCCCAAGGCCCCCAGCACTCCGTCTCCCAGCCCCCGCCAGCCTGCACGCCGCACACCGCACGCACGATGCACGACTCACACACGCGGACATCGGCTCGGGGTGGGGGGGGGGGGGGTAGTGCTGTGGTGACGGTGCTTGAAAACCAAGCACAATGCCGCAAACTCTGATCCCAGTCATCGCCCCTCAGTCCGATAAATTGACCGCCGCTTTGTGAAAAGTCAACAAGTGCTCATCTTATGGAGAGACCAAACACCACCATAAGAATGTGGAAATTCCACCAAATGTTCAGGGCACCGTTCATGTCTTCAAGTGTGACATCTGGAGCTTACTTCTCTTCTGAAAAATTGTTGTATCAAAAATGCAGGATCTGAGGCGGTGTCAGCTAAAAAAATTACTTTTATTTTACCAGGTAAGGGACACGGAGCTATATAGCTATTTTTCAGAAGCCACCTGGCCACAAATGATAGCTCAACGAAGTGGCTTATCACGTGGAAATTTACATCAGCCAAATACTCTAAATGCGTGTTTCTAAATGTGGAAGGAAAATCCAGAGGACCCAGAGAAAGATCCACGTAACCACAGGGAGAACACACACACTCCAAATATACAGCAGGCGTCAAGGTCGGCATCGAACCCACGACCTCCTGCATACCAGGCGAGGGAGATAACATCTCGCCAGCTCACCCGACCACCTCGTTATTTAGATAAAAACTGTAAAAAAAAATTACGGTTGATGAAGTAAAAAAAAATGAGGACACATCTCGGCTCTCATCACCGGAGTTGAGGGCGCTGACGAGGAGGGTGCTGCCCTCGCCGTGAGACGTCGCGTCCCCCGAGGACGACGTGACGACGCAGTAGAAGGCGCCCTCGTCACGAGACTCCAGCACCTGCAGCAGCAGCAACTGCGCCCACAGCTCCACCTCGTCCTCATCTGCGCGGGAGGCAGCAGCAGCGGCCACGCCACAGAGCAACAACTCCAATCGTCATCCACGTCGACACGGGCACGACACCGGTAATCAGGGGGGGCAGCACTTCATATTGCATGTGAGGAGGGTGGTGTACAACTGCTGTGGGATCTGGCAGAAGGAAGGAAGCGATGGCGAGGTGTCACGTGGGCAACAACTGTATTGGCCGTGAAGATCTCCTTCACTTGAGTGTGTTCCAGGCACCGCCAGGAGATGCCCCTGAATGCGGGGGGCTTGCGGGAGGGAAGGAAACCATTGAAATTCATTAGAGGGCATGGACCCCCCTCACAATTGTACACGAACCATCGACACCATCAAGACCTGCAGCGACACCCCTGGTAGCATTACTAAAACCATCACCATTTACAATACTCAATGTCATCGTTACCACCACCGTCAACTTAACTAGCAACTTCACTCCCAGCATTTACATGACCAGACATCAGCATTATGATCATTATCATCACCACCGTCATGACAGCCAGCAAACACCACGAACCTCAGCTTTAGTAGCAATATCACCACGACCGTCAGCTCCACCACAGACATCGTCGTCATCATCACCATCAGGTTCATTAGCAACATCACGACTGCATCGACATGACCAGAACTATGACCATCACCCGCATGCTTACCGGCACCATCATTAGCTCCACTTACAATGTCATCACCGTCAGCTTAGTTGCACCATCACTACCACATCGAGCAACATTTTTTTTACTGTTACGCTTGTTTATCCAGACAAGCCTCACTGAGTCTCAAGATAATTTTTTTAGGAGGGTCCTGCCACATGTTCACAGTCTGGGCCGATGTGGCTGCTGTGTCATCCCAACTCAGTAATTGGCAGTGTAATCTTTGAGCATTGGGATGTTTGGGGCAACACCCGTTACATTGAGTGTTTGTTTTAAATGCTTCCACTTGTCATGCCTCCACTTGGCATGAGCTTGCGCCATCAGCTGTAACACATGACAAATGCTTTTTTCACCATCATCACCAGAATTACCAGCAAACACGACCACCTCAATCAGCTTCCCTTGCAGCAAACGCTGCTGCCGCTGCCTTACAATTTCCTAAAAAGATATATTAAACAGGAATTCATCAATGGGTAATTCTGTGGAGCATTACGGGTACAGTAATAGTATACAGTACAGGGACTCCTCTACTTACGAACATTCGACTTACGAACTTTCAGAGATACGAACAAACCTGTCCCTATGTCCAGTTGACTGTTCGGCAGGGGCGGTTTCTTCATTAGGGCGATTGGGCGACGCACCACCAATGTCATTCAACCACAGAGTCACGCTAGCCGTCACTGTCAGCCTCTGGATATAGTCCAATCAGCGTCATGTCACGTTCTGTGGAGTACCGCCTCTTTTTGGGCGATTTCACTACGGCTGAGAATCGCCCCGAGTGGCCCCATAGACTTACATTCAAAGATGTTTTTTTTCGAACGGGGGCGCTGCAATGCATTCTCTATGGCTTCCGGGAGGGCAAGCCCTAACGTGCTTACGTCATCATACGTGCTAACGTCATCATACGTAAGCACGTTTCATCCAACAATATAATTTATCGCCACCTAGTGGAATCTTTAATAAAATAAACCTGAGTGGTTTGTTTTAATAGTGAGTATATAAACAAACAAGATATATTGTAAGAGTCACTTTATTTTTCATTAATATTAAAGAAGTGAAGTTGCCTTTACATGCTTATACTGTTAATTTATTCATTGCATGGGTGGACCTTATCCTTATCAATCATCCAGACATCTGCCCCCCCTGAGAGATTTTGCAGGAGCCGCCACTGCTGTTCGGACCGATAGGCGTAAGTTCAACCGCCGCGCAATAGATGGCGGTGGTGGCATATACATCTGCAGAACATTAAGAAGCAGTGCCATCTACATCTACGGGATTATATACAACTTTTGAAGCCATTCCCCATGTTTAGTGTACATGCCGTACAACACGTTTGGAATCGACAGGAGTAAAGTTGGACGAACGAACAAATCGACTTACGAACAGACCTTTGGAATCTAGCTCGTTTCTAAGTAGAGGAGTCCCTGTATAAACAAACAGAACTATGTTCAGCTGATGAGCCGCAGGTCAAAACTGGGCCAGAGTTTTGCTTGCTTAAACCATAATTGATAATACTGGTCTGGAAAGCCAATAGGCTGATGGACCATTGGCTTCCCATACACACTGCTATGAGAAAAATGTTTGCCCCATAACAGTCAAACTCATTTATAATTCTCAGAGTTGGAATTCAGCCAAGTTCCGTGAAAATGTTTAAGGTAGCACGTTTTTCGTTGTTGCGAGCGGCAAGTGAGCTACTGAGACCGTAACACTCGCTCCGTTTGAGAACCGGGTTGTGATCGCTGGTTGGGGCTGCCCAGATTCGAACGCCAGGATCTTGGCAGTCCACCCGGCCTCCCCTACACAAAGACAATTTCAGTGTCGGCCCTCAACTGATTAAATACAGGACAATGGCGGACTTATTTTTCTCCAAAACATTGCAGATAAAAAGGAACGTCTCCAAAAGGTGAACTGTCTCACGTATAATTGCACTTTTCTGGGTTGGGGTTGTCAAAATCGCTGCTTATCAATGTGCGTAATGAATGTCCTATTACATGTAGCCCCTCATGCTGTGTGTACCATATAATGTTTCATTACCACTCACGCCCCGACTTAAAAAAGAACTCTAAAAAGGCTGCCGCCTGCTATGCCCACTCTGGCCGTGTATCATTACATGACTGTTTACTCCTAAGCCCAAAAATATGACCGACTCAATATAAAACAGCTGTGCACGGCACACACTCCCATGCATTTGGACACACACATACACATACTCCTACGCACACACACGCACACTCCCATGCATTTGGACACACACACATACTCCTACGCACACACACGGACACTCCCATGCATGTGGAGTGTACTAATTCAGAGACACTATTAGGAGGCGTTATCCCTCTTGTTTATTTCGGCTCTCACAGCCATAGGGGATAACTTCATACCGGGTCGGGACAGTCAACATGCTTCCAGACCCACAGCTTCAAGAGGCGAAGACCACGACGACAGCAGCACGACGAGTTCCATTCCCGATGGCAGCAGCCCCGACTGTGAGTCGGAGCTCGCCTTTTATTCTCCCCAGCTTGGCCAGGCTCCGCCCTCGGCCATGGACCCTTCTGGATCCCCCAAAAGGCTCCGGGCTTGGCCCATGGGTCCAACTGGTAGAACGGGCTGCTACCCCCAATTCCATTGTCTACCAGTCTCCCAGCGCCACGCGCTAGTGACTCATTCAATGTCACTACACATGCACAAATACACACAAAACACAGAGGTCCCCTGTATACGCCTGAATAGCCTGTTGGGGCAAGTGCTGTTAGCACCCCACCCGACCGCCTTTGTCTCCCCAGTGGGGATGGTTTTACAAACCGCACCAGGTACTCATTTGAAGCTGAGTCGACCTAGGGGAGGCCCAGTACCAGTTCAGATAATCGCCACTTGGTGTTGGCCGTGAGTGGGAAGCAAACCCGGGTGACCAGGTTCGTAGCGCAGCGTGCTAACCGCTACACCACCGCTCCCCACACAAATACACACACTCCCAACAACAACAACAACCGCCATTCACCTCTAAGTGGCGGTGACATCACCACGACGCTTGTGCCAGGCTATGAGGTCACGGGGCAGACCCAGGTGCCACGGGTCAACTGACTGATATGACTGGCTGATGCACCACCTATGCCCCCTACTGTGCCAACTTGCTATGCTTTAGCCACCTGGCGCTCCGCTCATTGTTGTGAACGTCGCTCCTCCGCCCTCCGTTGTTGTTGGAGGGCGACTGCCTCCAACTGCCCAGTAGTGTCCTTCATGAGCCTCCTCCACAGAGGCCAATCTTGACACCGCTGGTACCAGTCATCGGCAAGTCCACTCAGCTCCACATCCTCCTGTACCACATCACTCCATCTCTTCTCTAGCATGTGCCGCGCCCATTTAGCCCCTCTATCTGGCTGAACAAAAGCTGTTTAGGCATGCAGTGACTGGGCATGTGGGCTACATGATCTAGCCAACGCAGCCTTGCCTGCCGGAGGAGCTCACCGATGGGACTTTGTCCAGATCTTTCAAGGATTTGTGAGCTCCTTACACAATCCAGCCTGGTTAAGCCCAGGATGGATCGTAGGCAGGCCAGTCTAAATGTTTCTAACCGGCGAAGATGTTCCATTACGGTGGTCCAGGTTTCGCAAGTGTAGAGAAGGGAGGGAATGACCATGACCGAGAAGACCTGAATCTTCGTACGGAGCGACAGACCAGATAGCTTCCACACAGTGTTACACAACCAATGAAAAGATAATGCCGCTCGACTGATTCGGAGTGAGACATCTGCTGTCAAATCGGAGCCGGTCATGAGCACACTGCCCAGATATGGGAAACTCTCCACTCTCTCCACAACTGCTCCATCACCAATTGGGAGTTGTGGGGGTGGAGTGTCCGATGGTACAAACTACCCAGGCAGGTGCTTAGTTTTGGTGGGGCTGATGGTAAGGCCCCACCTTTTAGTGGCACGCTCCAGGTTCAGCAACAGCGCCTCCAACTCCTCCTCTGAGTGAGTGGCAATTACCAGATCATTGGCATACATAACGTGGTTGACCAATAGGGAGCCATCCCTTGACCGCACCCGGGCATCCGTCAGCTTCCCATTGTATCTGTACCAGATGGATGTTAAATAATGTGGGAGCCAGAGGACATCCCTGTCGCACCCCAAGGTGAACAGGAATGGCTCCAACTCCCGACCACGTAGTTTTACCCGTGCCGACTTACCATCATGAAGGTCCTTAATGATCGTGAGCAGAGGGTCAGGGACTCCGAAAGCAGGAAGAATAACCCAGAGCCCAGGCCTACTGATGGTATCATAGGCCTTGATCAGGGCAGACGGACAGAAAATATGGCATCTGTGCAGGACCACCCTTTCCTGAAACCGCATTGGGGCTCCGCAAGCCTCCCCTCAGCGTGCCTGGCAAGGCGATGTTGAATAATCCTTGCCAGGACCTTTCCCGGCACACTGAGGAGTGAGATGCCCCTGTAGTTGTTACAGTCTGTGCGGTCCCCCTTCTTAAAGAGGGGGACCACCAGGGCATCCTTCCAATCCTGCAGAACCCGTCCAATGGTCCAGACTGTTAAGATGTCATGTAGGGCAGTCTGTGCACAAACGCCACCCTCCCTCAGCATTTCGCTTGGGAGATCATCTTTGCTCGGTGCCTTTCCTGGTCTCCGGCACCACGAGGAGGTAAGGGGGTTGTCTTTACCGGATACACAGACTCCCAAGCACACGCACACACACCCAATCCCATGCATGCACGCACACACACACGCATCCCCATGCACACACACACACCCTGCACATCGCCAAATACATACACACCCCGATTTATTAATGAGCCCACGTATACACACACACAGAAAACAAAGACAAAGATCCCCCGTATAGCCTGTAACAGACTGTAGGAGCAAGTGCTGTTAGCGGGCACTTATGATGGCCGGCACGGCACACGAGGGGTGGGTGGCCAGCACCACGCCCGAACGCCTTTGTCTCCCTAGTGGCGATGTTTACACACCGCACCGAGTACTCGTTTGAGGCTGAGTCGACCTAGGGGAGGCCCAGGACCGTTTAAAATAATCGTCACTGGGGTTGGCCGAGCAGTGGGCTCAGGCCAATGTCAATATACCGACTGTCACTTGTTTACACACTGATTACTGATTGCGTGGCGAGAAGTCGAACCGAGGTGGTTCCTGGGTTGTGGCGTACAGCGCGAAATACTCTTGACGCAATTGCCCACCTCCGCACATTCACCCATAGGCGCACGTTCACACCCACGGACACACGTTCTCGCGTTACACACACACACACATATACACACTCGCTGACTTGTGCACATTCACACACTGCGCCCACACCCAGAGTTATAATCACACGCAGACAGACCCGAATGAGCAATCGTTACCACCGACTCGTACACATTTGCACGTGCATGGCTCGTTCGACAATAACTCGTATGAAGTAGCACGCACACGTTTATAATAATTGATATATTACATTCATCATATTTATAATCAGCACCTTCCGATTAGCACGGTTGGCTACGTACGGTGCGAAAGAAGTTCAACATCGAACAATGACGGTCACTGCATCGCGCGCTTTCAGATGGGCTTCTGAGGCCGTCTGGAACGCTCTTCCTTCCGACATTAGGAAGCCACTGGAGCTATCTATGCACTTTTTAATCCAGATTGAAAACTCATTTCTTAAGAACTACGTTTTGTGTTTAGATTGTTGTCCTCTCCCCGCACCTGCGATGAGCACGGTTGCCAAATAAGTTCAATGTACGTACGCACATGTGGGGAAGTGACAGCCGTAGTTTCAGAGAGGTTCACGGTTGGAATGCAGTGGCCACCCCGATTAACACTGCGGTGTGATAACCATAATAGTAAGCGCCGTCTGCTTCACAGAGGACGTTAAAGATTCCCCGATGTGATTGTGTGCCGGCGTCTTGGTCAAAACGTTCCAAAGTATGAAAACAACACACGGCAGATAACTCACTTGGAGTCCACGTACCTATCATCGCCCCACACCGCGAAAATCTGTCGAGATTCTCCTGAAAAAGGGTCATGAGACTCAGTGATAATAAAAATACGTAATTAGTGCCCAGACTGGTCTTCTATTCAGAGGAACCTACACTTATAGGAATATACAATATCTGGTTTATTTAACGATGTTTTCAGCCAATTAATGAGTGTTTATTATACGAGTGGGAATGAAACCGGAGCTCGATCCCCGTTACGGATGGACACAGATGGCGATTAGTCCACCTGCTGTACTGCCTCCTCCTGGCGAGCCAGGGTCTGGCGCCTCAGCGCCCACGGGAATGGGACTCTCACAGCACTCGTGCGCCCCACCAACCCTGACCGTTGCCACCGCGGTGCAGGATCACGGGCCCCACGCGCAGCCACCACTCTGAAACCTGCCCGTACGGATACGGTGGTGGCACAAGGCACAGAATGGTCGACTCCAATCTTAACTCTAGATTTGAAGCTTTCGTGACTGCAAGGATGCATATTCTTAGGTTTTGTCGGTAAAGTCACCTAGGTAAAAAATAAAAAATAAAATTTATAAAAGTAAAATAAAAATAAATTTAAAATCACGACGTTTCGGAGGCAATACAAGCTTCCGTCTTCAGGTGGAACCGTCACAGCACGACTGCTACATCAAGTAAGAGAAATTCCAAGAAAACAGTCCTTGTATATATACTGGTTGAGGGTGGGAGGAGCCATTGTGAGGTTCGGTGCGGCTGAAACACGCTGCTAGGAATGAGCCGTCGTTGTGTAGACTGGTTGAAATGGGAGGTTCCAAGAGTTGTTAAGGTGCGGCTGATGTAAAGGTGCGGTTATTTTATTTTATTTTACTTGTATTAATTCCAATCTTAACCTTGCGCCGTACACGCGTCGAACCGCGTGCGATAACCGACGCCGTTTTTGTTTCGTCTGCGCTGCGTGTCGCGGGTTGACCTTCACCTGATTTGCGACAATCCATCGAGTTGCCCTGGGGTGGGGGAATAGAAGCGGGGCGAATGACTCCACCCGTGGCACCCAATAATGCGCACGTGCTCACGTGCACATTTATAACTGCATTCTCACCCAGGCTTGCATTAAATTTAGGTCTCGCGTTAGATGCGTGCCGCAGTATTCCCGTCGCGGTGGCACGCTGTGGAGGAGCCTCCCTTTCCGCCGTCCTTGCCAGAGGACCGATCAACAAAGTCGATGCAACGGAGTTCCCGCAGTCAGCGGGGAGGTCAACTTCGTTTATAATTAACGGGGGTTCGAGACAGGAGTAGTTTCTGTGCAGTGACATGTGTGAGAAAGCAGGCGAATGTTGCATATAACAACATGTGTAAAAAAAATAATCACTTAATCATAAGCCTGAGTCGACCTATCGGAGGCCCAGAATCAGTTCAAATATTTCCCACTGTTATCGGACGTGAACGGGGAATCGAACACGGGCTGCTAGGTTCGTAGCGCAGTGCACTGACCCCCTACTGCTGTGCCCCTATTCATACAGAAACACGCGTACGTATATTCGCAACATGGACCCACAGCACACATTACAGCCGCTTACAATTCAACAACATCTGACCTGCACCACTCAACGATTGCGGCGTCGCGAGGGCTCCTGTGGTGCCGAGTTTGTCGCACGGCAAGGTCAAGGGGAGTGGCGATGCCTCTCCGAGGGTCGCGCCACACACCCTGGTAGTTTCGTTTGGTAGACAGACAGGAATGGCAGCTGTATATTTTGGATGCCTGATGCTCTGCCTTGCGAGCGTTACCTCTCCACTCGGGGTTTATTTTGGAGGGCTTTGACATACGAGAGCCGGAGCGCGCGGAGCGCACGACCCGGGCCACCGTCGCAGCCTCCGCCCCCCCCCCCCCCCCCGCGTGTGGTCGCGACCTACGAGTGACAAATCAAGATCTTTCGAAAATCGGCGAGACCTTCGCGGGTTGCGACTCGGTCAGGCACCTGTAATGGAACGAAGGGCGGCCTAAGCCTCAAGCCAGTGCCGATATGACGCGCACGTGGGGACCGTGCTTCGATCGCCGTAAAGACGACGCGGAGACCTTTTGTGAGAAACAGATGTGGCAGTGTCCCGTGAGGCCCTGCGCGAGGATGATCAAACACATCCCCGGATCCAGCTCCTCCCGGACACCCTCGACGCGGCGACGCGAGCGCCAAAATTTCCGCTGGTCGCTCTCGGGGACAACGGGCGCGAGCCCAGCGTCAAAGGGGCCGCTCGCGGGCGCCCGTGCCATTCTCACCTTCGCCGTCGGCGTCGGCGTCGTCCCCTTGCGCGAGCTCGGAGCGGCCGGCCTCGTGCTCCACGCGCTCCCCGTGCGGCGAGCGCCGGTGCCAGGAGACGCGCGCCCCCCGCAGCAGCGCCAGCGGCCCCCGCGCCGCGCACGACAAGCTCGCGTTGCCGCCCTCGCGCGCGCGCACCGAGCGCGGCTCCTGCGTCACGAGCACCGGCCACGGTGCCTCGGGGGGCCCGTCGGTCCCGTCCGTCCCGTCGGCGGTGTCCTGCGGCGTCGTCGCGTCCGTCTCCGTCTCCGGCGACGGCGACCCCAGGTGGACGGACGTCGTGACGTCCGCGGAGAGCGACGAATATGCCGTGGACGCCGCCGTCGGCGTCGGCGTCGCCGCCGGCGCGCTCGACGCGAACGCCGGGTCGGTCGACGTCGGCGGCGACGTCGCGGCAGCGGCCGCCGCGGTCGACGGACGGGCCGACGGGGAGGAGGCCGCGAGCGGCGCGCCTGGCGACGGCGCCGCGGGCGACGCGGCGGTGCCGGCCGCGGGCGGCGTCGCCGGCGATGGCGACGTCGCCTCCGCGTTGGCCAGCGTCGCTCCCAGCGCTGGTGGTGTCACCACGGCCGGCGGAGTGAGTGCAGCCGCTGTCGGTGCAGCTGCTGTCGGTTCGGCTACTGTCGGTGCAGCTGCCAATGGTGCAGCTGCTGTTGCTGCAGCGACTGCTGTTGCTGCAGAGACTGCTATTGGTTCATTTGACTCTGTAACAGCTGCTGCCCCTTGCGTCTCTGCTGCTGCTGCTGCTGCTGCATGGGTCACAGCTGCATCGGGCTCAGTCTGGGCGAACGCCACTGACGGAACACAACAGACACAATAACAAACATCGTCACTGTCATCACATCGTCACAATCATCATCACCCCCACCAATTACCCCCACGGCAGTTGCATGAGCTCCGCCACCATCTGCGTCATTATCGCATTCGTCACCGTTCGCACCCTCGGCACGTCTTCAAAGTCAGCCGTCGCCAACGATGACATCTCACGAAAAATTCCAATTCTGTAAGCACACACCGCATGGAGCAGAGTGTTCGTAAACCAAGTGGAACGTATTAATGCCACATCCAATGGAGGGTTGGCTCGGCCGAGCCGGGTCTACGAGCACGCGGCGTCGGTTCCGCACCCGCGAGCCACTTCACAACGAACACACCACCGTGGCTAGGAGATGTTCACTACCTCGCCTGGTATACAGGAGGTCGTGGGTTCGATCCTGACCCTGACGCCTGCTGCTGTATATTTGGAGTTTGCGTGTCTCTCTCCTGGTGGTCACGTGCAGTTTTTTTCTCCGGGTCCATCAGTTTTCCCCTCCACACACATAATTCAACATGTGTTTAGAGTACTACATTTCTACGTGATGATAAACCACTTCGTTGAGCTATCATTTGTGGCCAGGTCGCTTCTGAAAAGAGCGATATAGCTCAGTGGGCCTTACCTGGTAAAATAAAAACTAGTTTGTAGTTTAGTTTATACTTTATCCGGGGTGATAGGGGAGGGGGCAAGAGGCAGCATGGAACAAAACTAAAACCTGGATAACACAAGACAGCGGTAGAGCGAGCGGCTCGCAATCGGAAGGGCGTGAGTTGACATCCTGTGGGGGGTTGACTTTGACAATCCACTGCTTGCCGAAGGCCTCCCCGCCCTGTGTCAGCGAATCATGGGGATTGTTTGACCATACTTCACCATGCTGGCCAATCGATGTAGGATGGTGAAAGGAGGTCCAGGCCTGGCTGGTAATGACACTCAGGTCACCGGGTCTATGGTGCAGTGCCTTGACCGCTGCGTGACAATTCCATCCATTGCCCGCTGGGCCATCACCGCTGGTGTAGTGGTTTCATCGTCACCATTACCAACTTCGTCAGTCACCAGCACCATCATCACTGTCAGCAGCAGCTCAAGCGCCCAGGCATCACGAGTCAGCACCATTCTTAGTATAATAGTATTCAGCATCATTACCACCACTGCGTTGAACTTTCACCATCGCATTGACTTCATCGAGTAAATGATATGGTATAATACACGTGAGTAATCATTCTATCTGTATTGTGATACCGGCCATCATTTGTCCAGGGAGGCTGCGCTGAGCACGAAGCCTCCTCATCAGGAGGGCCATTCGTGTTATTGGTCAATTACACTGAGTAGGTTTAACAGCACACATGTGCACTGCATATGCAGAAGTCCCCAGACTTGTACCGACCACCAGCTCCAAAAGAACTGCACGTGTGGCCATCTGAGTTGTTGAGACCACCAACCCAAAAACATTTGGGAGAAATGTGGCCAACCAGACAAGGCAGCAGCGAAACAAAGACACAACTGCAGACTGGCTTCATCGTGATTAGAACTCATCAGTCTGGAGTCATCGTTGTTCACCGCTGCCTTTATAACACCTGTTGGTGGGTTGGGCACATTTCCAACTCTTCTCAGAGTCGGTGGCCTGATCGAAAATGCGGCCAGCCGCGTTCGTCTCAGCTCTGTCCGCTGCCGCCACACGCCTCTGACAGCCCCATATATGGAGAGGGCTGTAGCGATGTCCCCTATGGAGACACCGTTCGCATTTACCGTTCAAATCCGTCATTGATGAGCAAACCCCATCACAACAGGCAAATTTGGCGCAGGCCGGCGAAACGAAAAATCTCGCTCGCGTTTGACTCTCGTTGTTGCGCGGTGCCTTGAGTCTGGGCCACCCAAGGGAGCATCGCGTCCCCTGAGCCTCCAGCCGCAAGGGGTTTGCGTGCCGCAGTCGCCACTGCGTTGGCTCTGGCTCTACGAGTGCTAGGCGCGCTCGCGCGAGCACGTGCTCACATTTCTCGCTTATATATTTAGATCCCTAGGGGGGGTGGGGGATGTTAGGGAGGGGTCAGTCATCACCACGACAGCCACTCAATACAACCACACAACTACACGTCTATAAGATACAACTACACACAACACAACAACCACGCATCTACAAGATACAACCACACACCACAACAACCACAGAATGCAACCACACACACACCACAACAACTGCACATCTACACGATGCAGCCACACACATACCACAGCAACCACGCATCTACACGATGCAACCACACTCACACCACAGTAACCACACATACCACAGCAACCACGCATCGACAAGATACAACCACACACCACAACAACCACAGAATGCAACCACACACACCACAACAACTGCACATCTACACGATGCAGCCACACACATACCACAGCAACCACGCATCTACACGATGCAACCACACACACCAGAAGCAACCACACGATGCAGTCGCACACGCAATAAAACTACACACGATACAATATCACCACAGCAACCACACACAACGAAGCAACCCACACATCTACAAGATGTAACCGCACGATGCAACCAGACACACACACACCGCAACACCCACAGATCTTCACAATACAACCACACACACACCACAATACCCACAGATCTACACAATACAACCACACACACACACACCACAACACCCACAGATCTACACAATACAACCACACACACACACCACAACACCCACAGATCTACACAATACAACCACACACACACACCACAACACCCACAGATCTACACAATACAACCACACACACACACCACAACACCCACAGATCTACACAATACAACCAGACACGAGACAACCACACACACACGCCACAACAACCACACATTTACACGATACAACCACACACACAACCCTAAGTGTTGTGATACTGAAAGATAATTCACTATGCAACACGATTTTTGTTCCTGGGTCGTAAGTGTAATTTTCTAATTGCTTATGCCTCAAAAGTACAGAAAATGGCTGTTATTAATACCCACAAACTTTGCTTTTGTGACCACGAGTTTATATGAAGGAATAACACAAATGCACAACACTTTTCTCATTGAAAATAGGTACATTTCGAAATATCACTGTCCTGGTCACAAAAGCAAAGTTTGTGGGGAATAATAACCGTTTTCTGTACTTTTGAGGCATAAGCAATTGTAAAATAACACTTACTACACAGGAACGAACATGTTTTTGCTACACACATTAGCCACACAACATACGTGCAAAGCAGCCGACACCACACGCACAAATCGCACGCACGGCCACCTGCCCCCCCCCCCCCCCCCCACGGTGCCCCCCTCTTCATTGGCCACAACTTCAGGCGCTGCGCTCCTCATTTAAGGCTCAAGTCAAACCAAGGGTGGCACAGTCGGGTTTTTTACAATCGGGTTTCATTGTATTTTTATATTAAACCCGATCATCTGAGATTGGGAGAAATCCGGTTTAATTGGTTCTAATTGCAGAACCGCACTTCGCCAACTTCTCAACGATGGGCTTCATCCATTCCAAGCTAAGGAACTCACTGGCGGCGCCCACGATTGTGGAGGAGAAGCTCGTGTTCATCACGACCAACCTGCCCGCCGCATTCTACGACTACCTCGTGCCCGACGGCCCCCCCGAGTACGACAGCAGCACCGACGAGGAAGCAGCCTAAGCCTTGGATCAGAGTTTCGTATTCATTAAAGCAGGTTTTAATTCCCCGAAATCGGGTTTAATTGTATTAAAGAAAAAACCCGATGCCTGCCGCTGAAAAAATCGGGTTTTTTTCACCCATGAGTCAAACGAAGAGAGTCCGCAGGGCAAAGTTGCGGCCACTGAAGTTGGACCCTGGCCGGGAGTCGAACCCGAACCCCGGGGGTCGCAGTCGGCGCGAGGTCGTGCGAGTGCGTGAACAGAGAGCGACGTTTTCGTCGAAGCTATAAGACTCCCATGAAAGTAAATGAGCACGCACACCGGATTGTAAGACGCACACCGGATTGTAAGACGCACACCGGATTGTAAGACGCACACCGGATTGTAAGACGCACTCCCGCAACGTTTGCTTTTGAAATATGGAGGGAACGGTGCGCTCCGTCCTATCGTGCGGTGAGTTTGGTTCACGATCGCAGTCATAGCGAACGAAAAACTAAATAACTCAACAGGTTCGTCGGCGACACTGCGGCTTGCTAAGGAAGGAGGGAGGAAAAAAAAGATAGAGTCGGCGACGTTTCGGGAAATGGCCCTTCTTCACGACACATTGAGAGGTCAGAGAGACGGTGGTCGATAATAGTTGGATACCGCACGACAGGATACGCATTGGGGTCATTTAATACATGTTCTTTGTGAACAGTGCACATTGGCATATGAATAGTGACACACTTTGAGTGAATATTAAGTTGACATACAAATCCGTCGATGATCAAAAAAATGCATTACGAAATAAAAGTTATTTGTATTTAACGTGAAATTTTTAAATGTTGCGGGAACATTGCATCGTAGGTGGCCCTGGTGTAGCGTGACGGATTCCTCAATAATATAATCATCGGAGCATTTTGCAAATCGCTCCTCATCTGTAATCTACCGAATAGCCACCGGGTAACATCGTTAGCGTCGGGAATCAAGTAGAATAAAACCCGGAGATTGTTGGTGGCTTCCACTCAGACGGCAGGGTCAGCCCGAAGTTCTAACTCTGCCACACACTCACACACACGATCTCCACCGCCACCACCATCATCATCACCAGTTACTCGTAATCCGTACACACACGTGCACATACACACGCGTGTAAACACCCTGACGTACACGTGTACATTTACGCACAAAAGACAAAGATACCCATATAGCCTTAACCGACTGTTGGGGCAAGTGCTGTTCGCGAGCACATGCAAACGCACACACGTGTACACACGCACACACGTGTACGCACACACGTGTACACACACACGCACACACGTGTACACACGCACACACGTGTACACACGCACGCACACACACGTGTACACACGTGTACACACGCAACACCTTGGGTCTCACCTGCAGCGAGTAGCGCCAGCACGGCGCACGTGCGTGCGGGAGACATGACTGCGCGCAGAGAGGAGAGGCGCGAGGGGGGAGGAGGAGAAGGGGAGAGGGGGGCAAGGGGGGAGGAGGGGAGGAGGGGAGGAGGAGAGGGGAGAGGGGGGCAGGTGGGAGGAGGAGGACAGGGGGGGGGGCGCAGGGTGGGATTAGGAGAGGGGGGGGGAGCAGGGTGGGAGGAGGAGAGGGGAGGGAGGCAGGTTTGGAGGAAGAGAGGAGAGGGGGCAGGGTGGGAGGAGAAGGGGAGGGGGGACAGGGTGGGAGGAGGAGAGAGGAGAGGGGGGCAGGTTGGGAGGAGGAGAGGGGGGGCAGGTGGGAGGAGGGGAGGGGGGGAGGAGAGGGGGCGCAGGGTGGGAGGAGGAGAGGGGGGTCAGGGTGGGAGGTGGGGCAAAGTCGGAGGAGAGGAGGGGGTGGGAAGTAAATTGGGAGAGGCATGGAAAAGGAGGTGGTGGGGGGGGATCTGGATTCTCGGCGGGAGTTGGCGTGGGGGGGGGCTCGGGATCAAATGGCTCAGAGAGCGTTGCCATCTCGTCGGATCGGGGGGCCGAGCCCGCTGAGCGCTTGCCAGGTGTTGTAGGCTGGGTAGCGGCCAGGAGACGGCAGGACCGAGTGTCCATCTCGTCTCGTCTCCGTGGTTCACGCGGGGTTCCTCCCGGTTCCCTCCGGGTGTCTCCCACGTGAGGCCGCACGCTCGTCAATGGCAATGATCAAATATTGAAGTAAATGTCTTGAGACTCGGTGAGGCTTTCCGAAGTCAATTATTTAGCTTTGCTGCATTATTATTTTGATTTAAAGCTTTCGTGACTGCAGGGATTCATATTGTTGGTTCTTTCGGTAAAGTCACGTAGAAGGTAAACAATAAATTAATTAAAAAAATATTAATCAATAAAATTCTCACGTTTTGACTGCAACACAAGCAAACATCATCAGGTGTGAAAAACACAGCAAGAAATATTTTTTCACAGCAAGAACATTTTCTTGCTGTGTTTTTCACACCTGATAATGATTGCTTTTATTGCAGTCAAAACGTCGTGAGAATTTTATTAATATATAAATTTTTTAATTGTTTCCCTTCTACGTGACTTTACCGAAAGAACCAAGAATATGCATTATTATTATTGTTACTACCGTGTTGTTTTTATTCTTACGCACACACACGCGGGCGGCGGGGAATTCGCGGCCACGTTTGTGTCTAAGAAGATGACCCGCATAGAATTCGCACGCTAAGCAATCACTCCGCCTTCATTTGGTTTTAATTCCCTTCGAGTCACCGGACGGGTCGAGACTCACTCTTCCATCCACGCCGCCGAACAAGCGAGAGAGCGAGAGAGCGAGCGCTTGTGTCAACGTTGGTCGATGTGCACGACGGTGTGGAGATTCTCAGAACTGAATAAGTCAAGTTCAAAAAGCGACTGCGATCTGAGTGTGTACGGACGTTAGAGGTGTGTGACCGGCTCCAGGTGTAGTGTTGGGTTGAGTGTCACATTTGGTGTTGGCTTATTATTGCGTGCAGTGTTCAGGTTTTAGTTTAGGGGCCGTCCATATATGACGTCACGCACCTAGGGGGGGGGTCAGACATTTTTAACGATGTGTGACGAGGGGGGGGGGGGGGGTGAGAAATGTGACGTCACATCAAAATGCGCAACTTTAAATAAATATAGACAGCACGTTCTACTTAATTAAATATACTTTTTAATAAATGTTTTCTCCTACAACATCAGAGTGCAGCGCCACATTAAATACGCACTACAATGACAATAGTTTAAAGCGATTTGAAGCATGTTTTATTTGGGTGGGGGCAGAGCTTTGTGACGTCATATTTGAGGGGGGGGGTCTGATTTTTTGTGACGCCGTGTAACGAGGGGGGTAAAAAAGTCGTCAAAATTCGCGTGACGTCATTTATGGACGACCCCTTACACGACTTCGAAGTTTGTTGGTATCACCACGAGCTCTGAGTGTTTTGCTTTTAGAGCAGTGTTTGAATGAGTCTGGACAATCGGCTTTAGTTCCTCCTTGGGAGACGAGGCACCCTTCCCCGATGCCACATGACAAAGATCCCCCGTGTGGCCTGACCATACTCTTGTGGAAAGTGCTGGGAGCGAGCACGAGGTGGGTGACCAGCACCTCGCCCGGCCACCTTTGTCTCCCCAGTGGCGATGTTTACACACCACACCAGGTACTCATCTAAGGCTGAGTCGACCGAGTGGAGGCCCAGGACCGGACCAGATAATGAATCGCTATTCCTAGTGCTGGCGGCCCTGAGCGGGAAGCGAACTCAGGTGGACGGGTTCGTAGATCAGCGCAACGACCACCGCGCCACCGCTCCCCCTACCACAGTCACAATTAGCCTCACACGGATTCGCACAGAGAGGCCTTGGGCAAGTGTATTTAGTTTAAGCAGGCGAGAGAACTCAAGATAGATCAGGATGAGTCTCATTTACAAGAGTGATGTGGGTCACCAGCATGTCACATGCTCACGCACGGCTGCCCGTGGGGGGGGGGGGGGCAAGACGGGTTTGGGAGGCAGAGACATTCGGACGCGACGAAAGTTTTACTTTTTTTAATGGAAAAAAAAATCACGAAATCACAGTCAATTCATAAAACGGGTACCCGAGCGGGCGGTAAAAGAGAACACCAGACTGCAAGAGGCGTTCGCTTGCACGCGGAAGCGTGTTTTCCCTACCGCACACGGCCAGCTTGGTTTCACATTACACACAACTGGAAGCCAAGTTTGTCTGAAGACATCAAAGCAGGGCATCAAGTAGAATGTGCCCACAGGCACGGACGGGTATGGTTCTTCTTGCATATCGACCATACTCTGCTCGTCACGTTTCTTGACCGGCAAACGTGCATATTGGTGTTTTACACAAACAATATATCGTGGCTTACAACACTTTATAGCGTTATACTTTTCTGGTCGTGTTTCAATCTGTGCCTGGTGGCTTGTTTCTTGTTTTTTGAATTCGACTCTGAACCAGGGACTTTCAATTCGGGTCGAGTTTGTGGGAGGGAAACAGACTGACGGGTTCGCCGTCACACACTCGCACAGACATCGCCAAGAGTCCTCAAATCCCTTGACAAATGCCATTATTTATGTACATGAGATTTCAACAATGCATTCTTTACGAGCGGCGCCTTCTGCTGCTCTGCAGCCTAACAATTTGGCGTGTCCCGTTTTCTACAATTCCCCGGTGCAGTGTAACACGAGCCACCCAATCTGCTGCGCCGCCGTGGAGCAGAGACGACGCGCTTCTGGACGCAAAAAGAGGTGACATTTCTGTGTAGTGTTCCGGGAAGATTTATTGTCGTCATTAAAACCCCACACCAACACGAAGCTACACGAAATTGCACAAATTTGTAGTTTTCAAAGAACTGTGTAAACGTCATCCTGAATTTAAAACCCGTTCGCGAGTGGAGTGTGCACACGCGCGCGTGTGCACGTGGTCAGAACGTTGGTTATTACAAACGCTGTTAGCGAGCACCTTTTAAATCCAGCGCTGCACACAGGAGGGTGGTTGGGGCCCAGCACCCAAGGCTGCCCCAATCCCATCCGTCTCCCCTCATCTATTTATACAATAGAATAGCAGCGGACCGGGATTCGAATCAAATTGCCAGTCATGTTACGAAAGTGGCACGGTGCCGTGACGATGACGCACACGGTTTTCTGTTGTCAATTCTAGCTTGAAGGCGAGGAGTTTAACGACGCATTCGCTCGTGCTCGATCGGATCCTCCACGGAGGCCCAGCTCCTCTCGCCCCAACCAAGCAGCAGACGCAGGAAACACAAACAGCTCGCACGGGTACCCAGAATGCCGTGCGGGCACTTCTACGAGACGCGAAACACACGAGTCCAGCACGTGTTCCACCCATGTTGGAGATAACCAGCACAGCAAGGCCACTGTGATCGTTTCGAAGTACTGACACCAAACTCATGCACCTTCATTAGAAACCAACAGCACAACATGAGGCCAGCCAGTAATAGCGTGCATCAAGAGGCCAGGTTTCGAGAAACGTATCATAAAACAAGTTTGTTGATCCAGGGCTGAGTCTCAAGAAATCATTTACGACCTTCCGAAGAAGATAATTATCCGATGCTAATCCTGTGGTTTTGGGATCGGGTCTCAAGACACTGCTCATTAAAAATCATAAATAAAATGTAAAACTCCTAAGATCTCCAATTGGCTGGCAAATGCAGCCTCTTGGTTGGTTGGGAGGGAGCCACAATTCTCCCCTTCGTGTGTCGAGTCCGTAACGAAGCTTCCCACCCAAGCTCATGGGTCGGAGCCTCAAAGGAACAAAGCGTCTCACTATTCTCATGGCTCAGACAGAAGTGCTGAGCTGTTTATCTCTGATGACGATGAAACATTAAGGATGGTGAACCTCACACTGGCAGTGTCACGTCGTTTAAAGTCCTATAGACCCAAACCGTTACTATCGGTGCTGTCCAGCAGACTGCTTCATTATAGAAAGTGTGTATGGTGCATCGAGTGTCTACAGCTTGGCCGTACACCACATCAGGCGACTTCACTCGTTTAGGATGGCGGCTAATTGACAAGGAGGCGAATTCGGAATGTTTATGCACGGTTCAGGGCTTAGGTACACCAGAGCTGATCTAGACAAACTCGACTCCATCCAAAGGACTGGCAATCGGTGAACACAACCATCGATTTATTCAGTTACGCCAAACTTAACTGGGGCTCCCATCGTCAATACTTCAATGCATCTGCCACAGCCACAACGCACTGAGAGTTAGCGTCACCAATGACAGCCCGAGTAAAAAAAAAAAACGCAACTTCAAATTTAAATAATCTTGAAATGATTTCGTACTTGGCTTCTTCACGAATGAAAACAGTAAAATTGGAGAACCGTATCATAGATCTGCATAGCAGCGGTCAGAGACCGCTGCTATGCAGAGACTGCTGCTATGCAGTGCGCAGACCCGGTGGTTCTCAGCCTGGTCCACAATGACCGCACAAAACAATCCACTGTGTGTGTGTGTATATATACAGTATACATCTCTAGTTTTGTCGAGTCCAGCTCTAAGAAATAAACTTGTGCGAGCATACATTTGGGATAAGAGATGCGCGGCGAGCCACTCGCCGTGCCACGGAGGGCCCACCCCGCCCCGCCCCTGTGTTTAGAAGCGAAAGGCCGACCCAGTGGAGAGATGAGTGAATTCAAGTCGTTTGGAGAGACGTCCCTTGAGGAATTATTTCGAGGAACGGTTTTCTTCCGTCTCTTGCATTGAAGTCGGGGGAGGACCAGTCTCCTCCTTCTTGGTTGTAACCACCTAGAGCGGCGTTCCTCACCGACATCAGCCGCGAGACGATGCGGGGAAGTGGGGGGGGGGGGGGGGGCCCGCGGGGTCCAAGGGTCTGGCCGGAGGGGGGCTGGGACGGGAATGGCCGTCTCAGTGCTCCTTGTAGCTGAGGAAAGAAAATGAGAATCAGAATATTTATTTACGCCGGAGGAATCCCATGAGCTGTGAAGCTCTTTTTCACAGATGCCCAGTAGGGCGGCGGCTCAGAGAGCAAGGAGTGAAAGACCGAAGCGAACCCGGATTCCGGATCACAATCGCGCACGTCCAAACACTGTGTAAACACACGCACACACACTGCTATACCCACACAAAAAAAAGTTCAAACATGGTTATTCTTCAACACCAAAACTCACAAACTCGTAGACTCGCACACATTAACACCCCACTCCTTTCCACCACTCCTATCTCTTTTTATCTCTCTCTCAGTCAATCTGTCATGGTTGCTTTCTCCATCGGTTGCGTACCCTCGCTGCTCCTCCACGCATCCACACCAACCCCGGATCTCCTTGTACATCAGGCGGATGAGCAGCTGTAATGACACCGTCCACGTGTTCATGTCAGAGTCGAGACAGCGCGGCACCCTGCTCACCCTTAAGATAGTGGCACAAATTCCACATTCCCATAGTGGAGTATCATTCTCTGCGCAAGTTAAGGACTGTGGGCTTTCTACATAGCAGTAGAGTACATCGTTATGGCAACCTTTGATGGACAATGGGACCGATTCAGATGAGAAAAATCATCAAGATCACGACGTAGTTCCCCCTGTGCTGTACCACGCATTTAAGGCATCAAAAGTCTCCCCGGAGTGAACGGGTGGATTCACTCCAGAAGACGACCACTACTGTGCCCTAGTGTCATTATTGTTGTGTATTAGTAGCCGTGTCACTGTATATTTCACGTGATTGTTGTGTTAGTTGTGGTGCTGGTGGTGGTGGTGGTGGTTGTCGTCATTGGGTCCGCTGGTGGGTGGCGTCGCGTTACCAGACAGGCGCACGCGTCGGCGCCCATGAGCATGTAGAAGACGTTGTCCCAGCCCAAGGGCGAGATGAGGCCAGCGAGGAGAGGCCCCAGCGCTGCGCCTGCACGCGTCACAGGGGGAGCGGTGGCGCAGCGGTTAGCGCGCAGCGCTACAAACCCGGTGACCCGAGTTCGATTCCCGCTCACGGCCAACACCGCTGACGATTATCTGAACTGGTCCTGGGCCTCCCCTGAGTCGACTCGGCCTCGAATGAGTACCTGGTGCGGTGTGTAAACATCACCACTGGGGAGACAAAGGCGGACGGGTGTGGTGCTGGCCTCCCACCACCTCGTGTGATGTGCCGGCTTTCATAGGTGCTCACTCAACAGCACTTGCCCCAACAGTCTGCTAAGGCTATACGAGGAATCTTTGTCTTTGGTGCGATACGTGTGCGAGGTGCAGTACCTATGGACCCCGTGCCGTCTATGATCGCCGACACCGTGTGCAGAGCGCGCGCGTTCCCCTTGAGAGACTTGTGCGTTCCCTGCGCTCACACACACACACCCACGAGCAACGTGTAATTAAACAGAGGGTTCACGCGTGGGCGGAGGGACGAGGAGGGGGGGGTGGTCAATGTTGACAGAGGCATTCACCGCTTCAACAACGCAGGGACCGAGGGGCCTGCGAGAGGTCTTCCTCATGAACAGCGTCAGTGCCATCCACCACAGGACTGGAGAAATGTGAAGATCGGTATTGTGAATAATGTGGGGTTGGTGTTAGTTAAGAGTGAAGCTCGTCACCGTTGGTGAAGATGGTTGCGATGACTATAAATGATCTCACCAGGTCGGCAGAGACGGCGGTGGTGATGAGAGCGTAGGGGCCGTTCACCAGCGCCCCACACAACACCAACATCCCTGCCACAGCCGGCACAACCACCACAACTTAGACTGCAAACTTCAGGCCACATTTGCAAATGAGACCTTGAGTTCTCAACTGGTTTTAACAAAAAAACTTGCAACCACCTAAAATCCACGACACCCACCAGCACCAGCATGTACACCACGACGACCATAACTTAAATTAAAAATAAAACCAATGCACAGAGAACCACAGCATGTCGACTACAACCACCACCGCCACAATAAAGCAACAAAATAAAAAGTGGTGGTGGTGCTAGCAGCGGTGCTGGTAGTGTTGGTTTTAATGGTGGTAGTGGTGGTGATCGTGGAGTTTATCATGGTGATGACGGCAAGGGTGGTGGTGATGATGATCATGGTAGTGATGTTAATAATGCTGATGATGTTGATGGTCTTACCTATGGTGGTCGGCATGTTCTGGTACCCGACGCTGTTGTAGACAAACAGCTAAAAGAGAAAAATTCAACACCACGTGAAGCAAAGCAATGATTCACATTTCAATTGCAGTAACAGCCCGATCCAAGGTAGCGCACGACAACACGCGTTCGGATATACCGCGGCTCAAGTCATATCCCTCGAAAAAAAAAAAACCTTAACTTCATGTTAAGTATCGCTTTTTGTTTTCCCATCGTAGGGGAGCCGGGTATGGGTCGAGGCGTTTGTATTTTGAGGCGTGACCTTGCGAGGGTATCCTGCGCTGTATGTCGGGGCAGGTATGTGGAAGGGTGCCATCAGGTAGTGAATAGGGGTTATCTTCAACCTTTCCTGTAACAGTTATCTCATCGGCAGCGCGGTCCATTGATAACACGACACCACCGCGTACATCTATCCCCTGGTAAAGAAACACGTTAATGTTGGCTTGATGACATGCCCAATATATACTCTATGTACCGCCATACAAGAGTAAAAATAAAGTGTTCACATTGTAATTACAAGTTTTCAAAGCTTCTGCAACCAACACGGTTTTACAAAAGGAAATCCACATCGTGGGGCACACGAATCCCGACAATCGGCAAACAAAATTTTTTTTCTCCAATATTTTCGCAATTGACCACTGGGTGGCGCTGTGGTTATCATCATGACGGAGATGTTGACTTGCAATTCGTGGCGAAAGGCGGCCGTTGTTGTTGTTGTTGTGGCTCACTGATGAGCCCTTATGAGGACAAAACGTGGGTTTATGATGACTGCGAGTGCCGCGGTGTCATTTCGCTGTGGCTTTCAGCGGCGGTGTCATCGGGGGTGTTACCATGGGCGCCGCGAGCAGAAGCATCACACCGCAGGTGGTGGCACGGCCCCCAATCGCGTCCGACACCACCCCAGCGAGGATCCCACCTGCAACCACAACCGGCGCAACAAAACCACCGCATCGTCAGACATGACCAAGCAAGAGCATCACCTACAACTACAGAAACCCTGACGATATCAGACACCATCACACCAAGAGCATCACCTACAACTACAGAAACCGTGACAATATCAGACACCACCACACCAAGACATCTGTGGTGCCACAACGACGGGGCCGCTCTGCCGAACCAGGGAGCCGCCCGGCTTCCCCCACCGCACTGCCCCCCATCACCCGCCCCACATAAGCACACACCCGCACGCATTCCCCCCCCCATAGAGCTGGAAGGGAAGGTCACCTGATCGACCGGTTTTTATCCGAGAGGCCCTTATCGGGATTAATTCTCACGGTTTCCGGCGATCAGGGAATTGGATGACCTCCCCGTGCTACGTGGCACCGCGGCGCTGCGGCCGGCCTTAATATGGTAGGTCGTGGCGTGGGGCATTCGGCCACCGCGGTTGAGGCGCATTTCCCCCCACACACACTCCCACGGGTCGACGGGGCGAGCAGGGGAGGCACGGGACAGCATGAATAGCGGGGTCACAGGGGCTGTTGCGCATAGTCATGGAGGGTTGGGATAATTGCGCTTGAGCGCGCAGGCCCCATTGTTAGGGAGGATAAGGGATTAAGTAGGATTTACGCCTTGCACGCGGCACACTGATTAGCATATCAACAGCACCCAGAACCGCCGTGCGCGTGCCAGAGGATCGCGAGCCCATTGTTTAGCGCAGCATCCCCTTGAAGGTAGGGAGGATAAATAGAGGGGCGCAGAGGGAAAATAGCCCCCTTCTCTCCAGGCCAGCGGACCAGCAGGACTTCCAGCCAGCGACCCGGACGTCCGTGCGACGCATCGAGGTACGCTGTTAGCGCAGAGAGCAGCGAACCTCCGCGGGCACCAAACAGTGAGTGGGGAGGTGAAGTAGGGTATCGTAAGCCGATAAATAGGGAATAGGTACAGGTTTAGTGGAATAGGCCAGCCTCGTCGACTCACTGATTACACATCAATTCGCAGGTAGCATATAATAAATCATTAATAGCGAAGCGTGGTCTCGCGTGATCTTGTCGTGCGGTGTGAGCGTGTGGGTGCGCTGTGTGCACCGTGGTTCGCCACGTGAGTGAGCGCTGCGCGGAGCTGAGCGCGCGGGTTGCGTGGGGGAACGCGTGTGGTACTGTGTGTGCGTAAGCTCGCGGCGTGCGTAATAGGCGTACCCCAGGTGCGCGATCATAACGCAAGCGGCCAGCAGACGGCGAGCGCTGCGCAGAGCGGCGCAAGAGTGGGTGTCGCGTGTGTTCACTCCGTGTGTGATACAGGTGCGCGATCATAACTTGCGTAGTTGGTGTGGAGTTGGAGTGCACGGAGCGGCGTGTGTGTGTGTGTGCATACGTTCGTTACATGTCGGATACGGATGCGCATTGGTAACGTGCCGCACAGGGCTATACTGCGAGCACGGCGTTTGATTGACGATGATGTGCGCACGTATGCTCGCAGCGTGGGAGCGCGGCGCGAGGCTGTAACAGTAGGGGCGTCGCATTCGAATGCCGGCGAAACCGTAGCGAGTAATAGGGAGGTGGGGTAACGTAAACGGAATAGGGGATGCAGGCGGGAGGGACCCCGGGGGCCAACGGCCCCCACAAATTGGTGTCGGAAGCGGTACGGACCCCCGCGTTACCTCACGCTAAAATAAGACTAATATTTACCGGCCGGGGGGCCCCTTCGTGGAAGGCATTCGCCCGCAATCTCTTAGGGGCCAAGGAAATTAATGGATGGACGGACGCGCAGGCAGTACGTCAACTTAATATGAATCTTGATGGGCGGGCAGCCGATTTTGTAGAAGCGTTACCCGCGAGCGCACAGACACAGCTAGAGGAGCTGATGCGCCGACTCGATCAGCGCTTTGGCACGCGTGACGAGGAGGAAGCAAAATCGGCCTTAGAGGCGCGCCGGCGCCAACCTGGCGAAGATCTACGTGATTACGCCGAGGATGTGTGCGAGTTAACAAAGATCGCACGCCCGGGGTACGCAGCTGATGTTATTGAGGAACTGGCCGCCGAGAAAATCCAGCGGTACCTGTCTCGCACGGCGTGGTGGCAGCCAGACATGAGCTGCCCACGTCTTCCCTTTAACACCCTTGTCGAGCGCGCACGTAAGTGTGAAAGAATTCACAGCGAACGCGCGCAGCTCCGGGGGCTGGGACGAGAGCGCGCCATTGCGAGCCTGCTCTCGGAAGACGAGGAGGAGGAACAGGAGCTCGCAAGGACGGTAAGGGGCCGGGAAAGAGAGCCTCCAGTGTCCCGCGAGACAACCCCGGGATGGGTTGCCGGTATACAAACGGGTATAAAGGATGTCTCCGGCCAGGTAACCCAGATAGACAACAAGGTAAACCAAGTAGGTGAGAGGGTAACCCAGGTACGCGAGGAAACGAATACAAATATGACCAAACTGCAATCCTCCGTTGAGACCATCCGATCCGAGATGGGGGAACTAGACTCCACGGTAGGAGGGCTAACTGGAAGGATAGCGCGACTAGAAGCAGAGTATGAGCAGCAGCGCACGGGGGGAGGAGGGAGTGGGCAGAGAGCCCACTACGGAGCCGCCACCCCTTCCCGGGCATGTTATATGTGCGATCGCCGAGGGCATCTAGTGAGGGACTGTCCTCAGGTCGCCCGAGCTAGACAAGAGCTAAGGTCAAACACTAAGGCCCCCCTAGAGAGGGGACCACCGGGGGGTGAAATCGACGTAGCCCCGACACAAACAAGCTGTGAGAATAATGGCGAGCGAGTGATCTCCACACAGGTTCCAGCAACAACGCCCACGGAAACGGTGACTCCTGGCGACTGGCTGCGGGAGCTGGTGGCGGGGATCACGGGGGCCACGTCGCTGGTGGAAGGGGAGGTAAACGGAGTGCGTACCCGAATCCTGCTGGACACGGGGGCGGTGGCCTCGCTCGTGAGCGCAGCGCACTGCAGCGCGATCGGGGTCGACGTGCGTCACCTGCAGGCCCCGGACCGCGCGCTGCACACTGCGAGCGGAGCCGGAATGGGGCTGCTGGGGAGAGCCACCCTAGAGGTCCGCATAGGCAGCCAGGTGTGCACGCAGGAGTTCTACGTGTCGAGTGCGTTGTGTCACGAGTGTATCGCAGGCACCGACCTCCTAGAACGGTTGGGACTCAACGTGCAACCCCGCCAGCGATGCGCCACCATGGAGAGCAACGGCGAGCGGATACCGTTCCTGGGACGAGAACCAACCCGCCGCCGCTTTGCACCTGTGGCCGCTATCCTGGCGACGGCAGTCACCATCGGCCCGCTCACCGAGATGCTGGTGCCGGTGGCAACATCCCCCACCGACCCCGCGCTCCGACCATCAGGGGAGGTAATGCTAACTCCTCACCCGGAGTTGGCAAAACGGTATGGGGTTGTGGGATCCGCCACGTTGGTAAACGCAGATGGGGACCGATTGTTTATGCGGATGTTTAACCCCCACAATACCCCAGCGATACTGCGACGGCGCACCCCGATAGCCACAGTACACCCCCTGCACGCACGCCACTCTAACGACTCGGTGTTCGCACTCTGGGCTGAGGACCCCGGTCGTCCTGAGGGTGAGCAGGACCTGGCCTGGCGAGTCGGCCCGACTCCCCGAGCCGAGGTCGTTCCCCTGCTCGACGCGTTACATGTACCATGGGCGGACTTACCTAAGGGAGAGGCCGATCGGCTGCGCGAGTTACTGCGGGAGTATGCCGACGTGTTCAGCGAACACGACTCGGACGTGGGTCGGACCGACCTTGTTAAGCACCAAATTGACACCGGTGCAGCCCGACCCATCAAACTCCCTGCGTACCGAGTGGGCGCACCCGAACGCACCCAGATCAAGGAGGCGGTTGGGGACATGCTTCGCGATAACATAATTCAGCCCTCAGCGAGCCCCTGGTCAGCCCCAGTGGTACTAGTAACGAAAAAGGATGGGTCAACCCGGTTCTGCGTCGATTACCGTAAACTAAATGCAGTCACGCTCGGCGATGCCTTCCCCATACCCCGCATCGACGACACCTTCGACAGTCTCGCAGGAGCGCGGTATTTTTCCACCCTCGATCTGGCGTCCGGTTACTGGCAGGTGGAGATGACGGAGGAGGATCGGCCAAAAACAGCATTCACCACCCCGATGGGCCTGTTTGAGTTTCGAGTGTTGCCGTTCGGACTCACTAACGCGCCCGCGACGTTCCAGCGGCTGATGGAGTTGGTGATGCGGGGTTTGCAATGGGAACAGTGCCTGATTTACTTGGACGATGTGATAGTGTTCAGTAGATCTTTGTCTGAGCATTGGTCCAGGCTTCGCGAGGTGTTCCAGCGACTGCGAGCGGCTCATCTCAAGCTCAAGCCACGTAAGTGTTACATCGCACAACGCGAGGTGGGGTACCTCGGGCATCGCGTCAGCGAGGCAGGCGTGCGCACCGATCCGGAGAAGGTACGCGCCGTAGTGGAGTGGCCACGGCCAAGGAATCTGACGGAGATCAGATCATTTTTGGGGCTCGCCACCTATTATCGTCGATTTGTAAAGGGATTCAGCGAGATCGCACGCCCCCTCACCCAACTCACCTCCCCTAAGCACCCCTATCAGTGGACGGGGGCCTGCCAGACGGCCTTCACCACTCTCAAAGACCACCTCACCCACGCCCCCACCCTCGCTTTCCCCGATTTTACCACCAATTTTATTTTGGACACCGACGCCTGCAGCAGCGGGCTGGGCGCGGTGTTGTCACAGGTACAGGATGGGACGGAACGAGTCATCGCGTACGCCAGCCGGACCTTGAGTGGGGCCGAGCTGAACTATTGCGTGACCCGCCAAGAGTTGTACGCCGTGATTTTCGCATGCAAACAGTTCCGGCCGTATTTGTACGGCAGGAGATGTCGCGTACGCACTGACCATTATGCTCTGCAGTTTCTTCTTACATTCAAGGAGCCGCGGGGGCAGATGGCCCGGTGGTTGGCGCAGTTGCAGGAGTACAACCTGCAAATCGAGTATCGGGCTGGCCGGACGCATGCAAACGCGGACGCCTTGTCGAGGCGACCCACGGTGTACGCCGAGACGAGGGCGGAGGAGGCCTGCCCGTGTTTCACGGGGGGACGCTGCCGGCAGGCAACGGACCCCCGAGAGGCCGCGGCCACTGACCCCCCCCCAGCGAGAGAGAGTGCAGTGTGCGCCACGGAAACCCTCACAGGTGGCACTGAGGATCCCGTCGACCGCCCGGCAAGCGCGGGACCCGCGGCTCGGGACCCGATTGGACGGATCCAGGAGGACGTCGGCTGCGCCTTCCCGGGCCTAAACGACGAGCAGCTGAGACAGACCCAGCAGCGAGATCCGGATCTGGCGGCAGTGGAGGCGGCACTACGGGAGGAAAAGAGCGCCCTACCAGGACCCTGGAGCGGTTTGTATGCCCGGTTGTGTGTGCGGAACGGAGTGGTATGGGAGTTAACCGAGGCCGGCCAGCCGGGGTGCATCTGTGTTCCTGCCCAGGTGCGACCCCAGCTGCTACGGCTGGTGCATGACCACCCACTCGGGGGCCACGATGGGGAACGACGTACTCGAGAGACCCTGCGTCGCCAGTATCTCTGGCCCAAATTGGCACAAGACGTGGCGGCCTGGGTACAGGGCTGCCGCGCCTGTCAGCAGTGCGGGCCGAAACCGGCACGATACCAGGTACCCCTAAGGCCGTTCCGCGTCAGCCGCACGAATCAGCTGGTTGGGATCGACCTACAGGGGCCATTCCCGCGATCCCATCGAGGCAACCGATATATCCTAGTCGCAGTAGAGTATTTCACCCGCTACCCCGTGGCAGTGGCCATCCCTGATAAAACGGCCTTGGTGGTGGCCCGGGCATTTGTGGAACACTACGTACTTAAGCACGGGATCCCAGAACGAGTCCTCACCGACCAGGGTAGCGAGTTCGAGGCCGAGTTGTTCCAGGCACTGTGCCGAGAGTTCGGAATCCAGAAGGACCGAACCACAGCGTACCACCCCCAGGCGAACGGGATGGTGGAGCGCATGAATCAGACCTTATCGGGGAAACTCAAACGTATGGCGGCCGCAAATCAACGGGATTGGGATGAACACCTCCCCTACGCCCTTTTCGCCTACGCCACCACCGTACACACGTCGACGGGACAAACCCCGTTTTTAATGATGTTCGGCCGTGAGTCTCGTTTACCCGCAGATCTGCTATTCGGCGTCCCTTCCCCCCAGCCGGAGGAGGGAAGCCGCCCCGTGGAACACCTGTTGGAGACCCTACGAGAAGCCCGAGGCCGAGCATACCCGCAAGGGGAAGCCACGCATCGGCGGCAGGAACAGGGCACCCGACCCCGCATGGAACCCCCCTTATTCCTGACAGGTGCTAAGGTGTGGCTACACACCCCTCGCGTCGGGGCCGGGCAGGTGGGGAAACTGACGACCTACTGGCGGGGACCCTGGACCGTGGTGCGACAGATCTCCCCCTGGACGGTACTAATTGATGGCGGGGAGAGGGGTCGAGAGACGGTGGTCAATGTCCGCCGCTTAAAACCGTGGAAAGCGGCCCCGGCGAGAGAGAACCCCGTCACCCGAAGGCCCCAAAATCCCGGAGTACCCGCATCCCCCGTGCCCGGGGGCCTCAGCGCAGTATATGGGCCCCACGGAGCCCAGGGCTCCGAGGGGCCCCGGGCGGGGCCGGGGGCGACGAGGACGGCGACCCTTAAACCCCACCGCTTCTGAGTTTGTTCCCCAGCCCGCAGGTGCCAGAGGCCGAGGGGAGCCGTTGGAATGGAGGAGGAGACCACCGCCGGAGCCCCAGGAGACGGAGCCGCCACCCCCGAGGCCAGCCACAAGGGCCGGGCGAATCCCGCGGACCCCGCGGCGATACCTCGTGGGGGCAACCCAGGCGAGGTGCTCCAGTCAACCCGGGACGGGGACTGGCACCCCGGGGGGCTATGTGGTGCCACAACGACGGGGCCGCTCTGCCGAACCAGGGAGCCGCCCGGCTTCCCCCACCGCACTGCCCCCCATCACCCGCCCCACATAAGCACACACCCGCACGCATTCCCCCCCCCATAGAGCTGGAAGGGAAGGTCACCTGATCGACCGGTTTTTATCCGAGAGGCCCTTATCGGGATTAATTCTCACGGTTTCCGGCGATCAGGGAATTGGATGACCTCCCCGTGCTACGTGGCACCGCGGCGCTGCGGCCGGCCTTAATATGGTAGGTCGTGGCGTGGGGCATTCGGCCACCGCGGTTGAGGCGCATTTCCCCCCACACACACTCCCACGGGTCGACGGGGCGAGCAGGGGAGGCACGGGACAGCATGAATAGCGGGGTCACAGGGGCTGTTGCGCATAGTCATGGAGGGTTGGGATAATTGCGCTTGAGCGCGCAGGCCCCATTGTTAGGGAGGATAAGGGATTAAGTAGGATTTACGCCTTGCACGCGGCACACTGATTAGCATATCAACAGCACCCAGAACCGCCGTGCGCGTGCCAGAGGATCGCGAGCCCATTGTTTAGCGCAGCATCCCCTTGAAGGTAGGGAGGATAAATAGAGGGGCGCAGAGGGAAAATAGCCCCCTTCTCTCCAGGCCAGCGGACCAGCAGGACTTCCAGCCAGCGACCCGGACGTCCGTGCGACGCATCGAGGTACGCTGTTAGCGCAGAGAGCAGCGAACCTCCGCGGGCACCAAACAGTGAGTGGGGAGGTGAAGTAGGGTATCGTAAGCCGATAAATAGGGAATAGGTACAGGTTTAGTGGAATAGGCCAGCCTCGTCGACTCACTGATTACACATCAATTCGCAGGTAGCATATAATAAATCATTAATAGCGAAGCGTGGTCTCGCGTGATCTTGTCGTGCGGTGTGAGCGTGTGGGTGCGCTGTGTGCACCGTGGTTCGCCACGTGAGTGAGCGCTGCGCGGAGCTGAGCGCGCGGGTTGCGTGGGGGAACGCGTGTGGTACTGTGTGTGCGTAAGCTCGCGGCGTGCGTAATAGGCGTACCCCAGGTGCGCGATCATAACGCAAGCGGCCAGCAGACGGCGAGCGCTGCGCAGAGCGGCGCAAGAGTGGGTGTCGCGTGTGTTCACTCCGTGTGTGATACAGGTGCGCGATCATAACTTGCGTAGTTGGTGTGGAGTTGGAGTGCACGGAGCGGCGTGTGTGTGTGTGTGCATACGTTCGTTACATGTCGGATACGGATGCGCATTGGTAACGTGCCGCACAGGGCTATACTGCGAGCACGGCGTTTGATTGACGATGATGTGCGCACGTATGCTCGCAGCGTGGGAGCGCGGCGCGAGGCTGTAACAGTAGGGGCGTCGCATTCGAATGCCGGCGAAACCGTAGCGAGTAATAGGGAGGTGGGGTAACGTAAACGGAATAGGGGATGCAGGCGGGAGGGACCCCGGGGGCCAACGGCCCCCACACATCACCTACAACTACAGAAACCGTGACAATATCAGACACCACCACATCAAGACACCACCGACAACGGCCATATCATCATAGAACATCACCTATATCTACTGCATTGCACTAACCACAACAACCACATCAGAGATTAGAGCATCACCCTGCAAAGTTCACAAATACTAACACAACAACAACCACTACAACATATCAACAATGCAATGTGCCGGATCTCAACCTATCCAGAACAATACATACAACATACACTACAAAACACATCAATATCAACTACAACACATTACATATCACTATAGCAAGCACACCAACTCCAACCACCATACAACCACCACAGCTGTAACACAAACAACACATCCGAAATCCCTGTTGATATACCGTGAATTTCTCAACAACCAAGTTGCAGCAACACATAACAGCACTACCAAAAACAACACCTTCTATACAACCACATAAGGGATCACTACAATAACGACCACTAAACACATCAGTGTACAAACCCCGCTGCACAACACAAAGCCACACCACTGCATTTGTATCGTGTGTGCATTTAACATTACCCAAAATTCCTCCGACATCAAACAGAGTTGAAAGGTCACCGGCGGATTTTGAGTCAAAGTGAGCTGCAACGAAAAACGACATCATCAACGTCAACAACTTCACAGCCCCTTGAACGCATACAATCAACATGATTATCACCGACTTCTACATTCCATCAATTCAATATCATGAGCTTCACCCATGTCACCATTAGTGGTAACATCGACGTAACCATCACCAACATCATCATAACTGATGTGATAATCATCACCACCAACAATGTGTGTAGCTATATCATCGTAGTTAGTGTACTACGCTACCACCCATCACCAGTGGCAACCGAGGAGCTCAGATGCCTGAAAGATCGAGACACAGTTCAGTCAGCGAGCTCCTCTAACAGGCAATGATGCACTGGCTAGGTCACGTAGACCAGATAGAGGGGGATAAATGGGTGCGGCACAGGCTAAAGAAGAGATGGGTTGATGTGGTAAAAGGAAACACGGAGTTGAGCGGTCTTACCGACGACAACTGGTGCCAGTGATATCAACATCGGCTTTCTCTGGAGGGAGTTTGTGATAG